TAAAGAATGCACCAAATACCATCAGTTATTTCCTACAACACCAAGGAATGCATAATATATATATATCCATCAATTACTCTCTACAACACTGAGGATACACAATATATATATCCATCAATTATTCCCTACAACACTTACTCCTTAAACTAAGAAATACACCATACATCCACCACTTACTCTCTACACTAAGGAATACATCATATATCCATCAATTACTTCCAACACTAAAGAATACACCATATATCCTTCAATTACTTCCAACACTAAGGAATATACCATATATCCATCAATTACCTCCAACAATAAGAAGAGAAATACACCATATATCCATCAATTACTCCCTACACTAAAGAATACACCATATATCCATCACTTACTTCTAACACTAAGGAATACACCATACATCCATCACTTACTTCCTACACTAAGGAATACACCATATATCTATCAATTACTTCTAACACTAAAGAATACACCATATGTCCATCAATTACTTCCAACACTAAGGAATACACCATATGTCCATCAATTACTTCCAACACTAAGGGATACACCATATGTCCATCAATTACTTCCAACACTAAGGAATACACCATATATCCACCAATTACTTCCAACACTAAGAAGAGAAATACACCATATATCCATCAATTACTTCTAACACTAAGGATACACCATATATCCATCAGTTACTTCTAACACTAAGGAATACATCATATGTCAATCAATTACTTCAAACACTAAGGAATATACCATATATCCACCAATTACTTCCAACAATAAGAAGAGAAATACACCATATATCCATCAATTACTTCTAACACTAAGGATACACCATATATCCATCAGTTACTTCTAACACTAAGGATACACCATATATCCATCAATTACTTCTAACACTAAGGATACACCATATATCCATCAATTACTTCTAACACTTAGGAATACACCATATGTCCATCAATTACTTCCAACACTAAGTGATACACCATATGTCCATCAATTACTTCCAACACTAAGGAATACACCATATATCCACCAATTACTTCCAACACTAAGAAGAGAAATACACCATATATCCATCAATTACTTTCTTACACTAAGGATACACCATATATCCATCAGTTACTTCTAACACTAAGGAATACATCATATGTCAATCAATTACTTCCAACACTAAGGAATATACCATATATCCACCAATTACTTCCAACAATAAGAAGAGAAATACACCATATATCCATCAATTACTTCTAACACTAAGGATACACCATATATCCATCAATTACTTCTAACACTAAGGATACACCATATATCCATCAATTACTTCGAACACTGTAAGGAATACACCATATATACATCAATTACTTCCAACACTAAGGAATACACCATATGTCCATCAGTTACTTCCAACACTAAGGAATACACCATATGTCCATCAATTACTTCCAACACTAAGGAATAAGGAATACACCATTACTTCCAACACTAAGGAATACACCATATCATTATTACTTCCATCCATCAATTACTTCCAACACTAAGGAATACACCATATATCCATCAATTACTTCAATTACATATTCCATAACTTCCAACACTAAGGAATACACCATATATCCATCAATTACTTCCAACACTAAGGAATACACCATATATCCATCAATTACTTCCAACACTAAGGAATACACCATATATCCATCAATTACTTCCAACACTAAGGAATACACCATATATCCATCAATTACTTCCAACACTAAGGAATACACCATATATCCATCAATTACTTCCAACACTAAGGAATACACCATATATCCATCAATTACTTCCAACACTAAGGAATACACCATATGTCCATCAATTACTTCCAACACTAAGGAATACACCATATATCCATCAATTACTTCCAACACTAAGGAATACACCATATGTCCATCAATTACTTCCAACACTAAGGAATACACCATATATCCATCAATTACTTCTAACACTAAGGAATACACCATATATCCATCAATTACTTCCAACACTAAGGAATACACCATATGTCCATCAATTACTTCCAACACTAAGGAATACACCATATATCCATCAATTACTTCCAACACTAAGGAATACACCATATATCCATCAATTACTTCCAACACTAAGGAATACACCATATGTCCATCAATTACTTCAAAAACTAAGGAATACACCATATATCCATCAATTACTTCCAACACTAAAGAATACACCATATGTCCATAAATTACTACCTTCATTAAAAAATACATCATATATCTATAAAACAGTTCCAACACCTAGTACTTTATACAACCAGCACTATTCCACACTAACAGGAAACTGCTAATGAATCATCGAGGAGCTTAACATATGACCATGGATTATTCATGAATTGTGTTTCAGAATCACAGAGCAGCAGTGATCATTTTTTTTATAACTGCAACATTAAACAATTTCCCACATTTACTGAGATTGTTCAGTTGTCTAGCTTGCAGTCAGACCTTGGTATGTCAGAAAGGAATGCAATAAATAATGACCCACACACCCCCAAAAAAAAAAAATGATAGCATCAAAATTTTGGTATATTATAAGGAAAAACTGAATGCATGTGTCAAACAATGTTAAAACATTGCAGCTTACTATTGCTGTTCTATAATAATGTTCAGTTTTAAATAAATCAACCGGGAAGGATCAATATGGGGAAATAGTTAATACTGTCACAAAGAGAAAGCTGTTTTTCTGACATTTACAGGTATTTTTTTAAAATGACATAGTCTTCTGCCAGCAACCATTCCCTTTATATAACAGCTCTGATACTTAGTCTGTATAATAAATACAGATGGGGAAGGGATGACCATATATACTCCAGCAAAAAAATGTGAGGTGTTAAGGTTTTTTTTTAAAAAGTCTCTCCCCCCAATCATATTTTCAAAGGGTTCAAGTAATGTTTTAGTTGGCAACCATTTTTTGACCTTCCATTTATGGTTCCTGACCTTTTCCAGGATGGTATTATCTTCTAGGGGTGTCATACTGTGTTATTGTCAACGATCCAAGTATTTTGTATTCCAAGTAGTGGGACCTATTGCAGCTTCCCTCCTAGACCAGCTGCCAACCAAGGCTAAGGGCCTGGTGTGCTATACATTTCACCGCACACAAAGCCTTTATTTGATGACAATTTGCAGTATCAAACTTGACCAACATACTATAACAATGTTGCCCATACAACATGACCCATTTCTTGGCCTGCTGTGTTAACTACAAAGAAGAAGTGAACATCACTATGTTTGGAACACAATTTCCAATCAATTTTATTTGAATATATTGAATTAACATTTTAATATTTTGTCAATGCTAACTAACAGTTATTTCATAACTCAAAGCAATGTTTCCCAGCTGTGAATTTGAACAAAGAAGACACCAACAATAGATTTCACAACTTATTGCCTGGTATATTTTCCTGTATCTGCATACTAGAATAACAATTCATTACAATAAAGGAACTAAATGAATCCTTTGAGCTGAAATACAACATTTCAGTTCAAAACATAACATTTATTTAGATTTCCTCTATTATGCAGACAAAAGGACGTTGCATTTGCCCCGGACTCATAAGCAGAAATGATACTGCTTATGAGCCAGTACGAGAAATCATAATGTCTATAAGCCAGTATCATTTCCTATACTGGCTTATAGACAGTATAATTGGGAAATAATACTGCCTATGGGCTAGTTCCTCTTGATATTAAGAGAGTGAACAGTGGCAGTATTTTTCTTCCTCTTGCTCTAAGAATCTTCCTGTAACATTTCATGTCAAAAACCCCAGTTTACTTCATTAGTGATTGTCCAAGACTCATGTCTGTGTTCTCAGGATTGTCACTGTAAGCTTATTGTTGATACTGTTCCATAGGCGCTTCACACTTTTCAACTCTTTCATTACAAAACAAATCAATATGTTTTTATTGGTGTTTTCAAAAATAATGTAATGTTGTTGTTGTCTTCTGTCATGCTAACATGTTATTAACCCTTTGTGTCTGAAAACAACTACTTCTGGCCCAGACTGTCTCTTTTAACTCCCTATAAATGTTGAATGCTGAATTAAGAATAGACATCAGAGCAGTTTGAACACTCATTCTCTTAAGGACTCTGTCCCCATCTTCAGCAACAAGCGCAGAGTTCCAATACTGATGGCACCAGTAACTGTCTGTCTGTATATCTGTCTCACCTTTCCCTTGAATGTCAGCCACATCCCCTGGGGTCACTCCTCACAGCACCATTCTATTCAGACCCAGATGACCTGTATGTGGCCTCCACACTGTTTACTCACTCCCAAGGGACCTTTACAATACCTAGCTTGCCATGTATCAATTCACAACAGATAACAATACCTGGCTGGGAACTGTTATGAATTTGTTGAACCTCTGATTCTACAGCGCTGGCTGGCCAGTCCCTGTTCTCACTGCCCAATCTGATTAGAACCCTACAACCCTTCCTCAGACCTCAACATTTATTGCTACTAAACCCAGCTCCTTGTGGTACAAGGAGTAAGGTAACAACTGCTTGGCACTAAAAGAGTTAATCTCTCTGCTTACCAAAGTCTTCTTTTCTAATTTCCGGTGAGCAATCTTCACTGTTGAGCTTTGGGAAAAACTAAACAAATTCAAGTGAATGAAGGGGTGAGGAAAAGCAGCTGGCATTGGATAGGAGACACATGTAGAAAACCTGAGAACAGTATAATTAGAAGGAAAAAAAATCACAAGGAAAAGGGAACTAAGAGAGTTGAGTTTAAAAAAAAAATTGGAGAAGGTGAGCTGCATGCAACAACAAGGGACAAGATGACCTGGCGTGAGCTGGTTGAGGGCCTATGATCCATCGGGGAATAAACCGCAGAAGAAGAGAAGAATCTCCATCGTTAATTACTTAAAACATATTCAGACAAATATAAACATTATGATATTTACTTAGGAAAAACATACATTCATGTATTTTTTTTATTATTAATTGCTTTTCTTCAAAAGCACTTTCTTCTTTTTTGCTGGTGGCTCTTTTGCAGGTTTTTTATTCTCTGCGTCACTTCCTGAACCGGAATCACTGTCACTCTGAGAAGAGATGAGATGACCAAAATATCACTGACTGATACACTAAAAACATGATCAAATAACAATAAAATAGCAGAATTAATACAATGATAGAATATATTACAGGAAGCAACAAACACACCTAATTAAAGATATTTATTTGCACTGGACAAGCACACACATATGACTCTCTGAGAAAATCTCGTCTGACAGGAATCAGTTTCATTTTTGTGCCAGTACACTCTGAGAAAATCTCGTCTGACAGGAATCAGTTTCATTTTTGTGCCAGTACACTCTGAGAAAATCTTGTCTGACAGGAATCAGGTTCATTTTTGTGCCAGTACACTCTGAGAAAATCTCGTCTGACAGGAATTATGTTCATTTTTGTGCCAGTACACTCTGAGAAAATCTCGTCTGACAGGAATCAGGTTCATTTTTGTGCCAGTACACTCTGAGAAAATCTCGTCTGACAGGAATCAGTTTCATTTTTGTGCCAGTACACTCTGAGAAAATCTTGTCTGACAGGAATCAGGTTCATTTTTGTGCCAGTACACTCTGAGAAAATCTCGTCTGACAGGAATCAGTTTCATTTTTGTGCCAGTACACTCTGAGAAAATCTCGTCTGACAGGAATCAGTTTCATTTTTGTGCCAGTACACTCTCAGAAAATCTTGTCTGACAGGAATTATGTTCATTTTTGTGCCAGTACACTCTGAGAAAATCTCGTCTGACAGGAATTATGTTCATTTTTGTGCCAGTACACTCTGAGAAAATCTCGTCTGACAGGAATTATGTTCATTTTTGTGCCAGTACACTCTGAGAAAAGAAAGGGGCCAAAGAACCTGCACAAAGCAGCGTGAATAAGTGAAGATATTTCTAGGAAAACAGTTGTGTGGATCACAGTTAAGATGCTTCTAGTGAAATGACTGCATGATTCACTGTGGAGATCTTTCTTGTCAAATCATTAGGTGTAGATATTTTCAGCCAAATGATTGTGTGACTGGATGCCTTCAACTATTCTCTTCATTATTTTCATACATTTCAATGTCATCTGAAATTACCAATATAGTTTTTTTTTTGAAAAATTTTTATTCACCTCAACAGTACAGTATCTTTTTATTTCGCTCTCAGTTATTTCAGGACTTTATTATTTTATCCATTTTAATTTTTTTGTAAACATCTGATCCATCTTGAAAATCCATTTTTAAAGATTCTGTTTTTCTGTCAATCTTTTCTTAGCCGAGGTCATTATCATCTGACAAGGCTTAATAATGTCAGTTTATAACTTAACATTTTTCTTCTTCTCTTCCTTTTTTTTACCAATTTGATGGTTGAGGGAGAAATGAGGTTCGGACTCTTGATCTTTTTTGCTCTCTCGACCATAGACACATGGTACTATTGTAGAGTCTCTCTGATGTTGTCTTTCTATCTTGTTTCTTTTCCACCTTGGATCTACATCCCTCTCCTCTTTTGGTGCATGACTTGTATAGTACTGCGTCACAAGGCTTTCTCTTTAAGTCAGAAAATTATTTTATCTGCTGTTTTTCTATATAATTTAGTACTGACTCCGCGCCTACGCTTTCTTTTAGAACAATGCCTGATTGTATCTTCTCTGGTCATAACTTAAAACGACTAATTCAAACAATAAATAAAATAGGCTTACAAGGCTCTGATTTGGTGTTTTCTCTCTTTCCTTTTCATGGTTTTTATCATTATCATCATCATCATCACTTTGCTGACTCTCATCGTCTGAAGAGACTGCTTGCTCCACAACTGTTGTGACAGTCTCGGTGTTGATCCGGAAATCTCGAGATGTGGACAGTTTCATATTTTCCATGAGATTCACCTAAAACAACAAAAGAATCATCAACATCCTGTCGAGACAAACATTACACAGGGCTTGCAGTTTATTCTTCCAATCCAGTCTTGTCTGGCATAATTCTGTCAATATTTTTTCAAATCACTGCAGCTGATTGCAAGAAATGCTAAATATAACACACAATGTGACTAGAAAGCTCAATGGAGGAATGGAAAAGACGCAACAAACATTTTGACCAAAGTAATCATCAACCGATTATTAAATACAGCACAAACTGTGACTAGAAAACTCAACAAAGAAGATAACAGAGCTAATAATAAACCAAGAAGTACGTAAATTGGGGGAGGGGGAAATTCTATTTACATTTACCAGACACATAAATTAAAAACTATTTTGACAAAAGCAATCATGTGAGAAACCTAAGAAAACTATCTAAAAGCAATCATGTGAGACACCTAAGAAAACTAAATCATGTGAGACAACCTAAGAACACGCAATCATATGAGACACCTAAGAAAACTATCTAAAAGCAATCATATGAGACACCTAAGAAAACTATCTAAAAGCAATCATGTGAGACACCTAAGAAAACTCAATCATGTGAGACACCTAAGAAAACTATCTGAAAGCAGTCATGTGAGACACCTAAGAAAACTATCTAAAATCAATCATGTGAGACACCTAAGAAAACTATCTGAAAGCAATCATGTGAGACACCTAAGAAAACTATCTGAATGCAATCATGTGAGACACCTAAGAAAACTATCTGAAAGCAATCATGTGAGACACCTAAGAAAACTATCTGAAAGCAATCATGTGAGACACCTAAGAAAACTATCCAAAAGCAATCATGTGAGACACCTAAGAAAACTATCTGAAAGCAGTCATGTGAGACATCTAAGAAAACTCAATCATGTGAGACACCTAAGAGAACTATCTGAAAGCAATCATGTGAGACACCTAAGAAAACTATCTAAAAGCAATCATGTGAGACACCTAAGCATCTTATGCTGAGATGGCTGCTAAACTGAATGGGTCGGACCAATGTGCTTGGGTGCCCATACGTGTAACACCTATAAAAGAATGCCTTGAAGTCTTGGTTAGCTTCAGGGGTCCCGGGTAGTTAGCATCCTTTAGATATTTTCTCCGGGTCTTGCGGGTGTATTGGTAAACGAGCAAGCAGATAAACTGGCCGGTTCTGCACTGCTTAGTAGTGAACTGATGTATGACAAGCTGGATGTTGTGAAGGGTCTTTGTGAACGAGTAAACAGTGCCAAGGAACAGATAGATAATTACGGGCTGAAGAGAATGGCACTCCGAGGAGTTACAAGGGGATCTGGCCAACGCTCGACACTCAGGGGAAAGGCGAGACGAATAAACTATCAGACAGTTACTGGTACCATCAAAATTGTTACTCTTCGCTTGCTGCTGAAAATGGAGACGGAGTGCTTATGGCAGTGTTCTGAGTGCTGTGATGTCGATTCAACATATTTTGCTGAGACTGACATGTTTTCCACTAGTTTTTCAAATGAGACAATGAGGGCATTTTTTAAAATTTACAATGCCAAGGAGCGGAGCAGCTTTTTGGAGACACATCTGCAGTTAAGCTGCGACCTCTACTAATAAAAGTAAAAATTAAGTAAAGTACCTTTTTCCATGCCTTTCAGGCGTATCGGGTAATTTAGGGCTAGGCCTATATTTTACAGACCAAACGGCACTTGGTGGGCGATGTGGTTAGCATCACGCCGACGGTCTTTACTTCCCAGGACTGCACCTGGCACTGGCTCAAGGCTTGGGTGACTTGAGAGCCGAGGTTATTTTTGAAAAAAGTCCAGCCCCCATCAGGAACCGAACCGATGACCTTTTGTTCTGCAGGCTAGTAGCTCCCCACCTCTACTAAAATGAAATGTTAAAAAACAAAACTGTTTCATACCTTTGATTTTTTACTTAGCTGTATCAAAAATTTCTCCAACTGTTCAATTGCAAATATCAGGTTTGGGATAGTCTTCATCTGTTTCATAGCATTTGCCTGCAGAAAAAGATAAACCAGTTGTCACAATGGATAAAATAACATCTGATTCAGAACAGAGAGAACAGAATTCTAAAGAGGAACCAATGGCAAACAAAATCATTAAAATAAATTACTGATCGTAGACAGTCAAGCACCAACTGCCACATCTTGTACTTCACCTTGACATCACAAAGTACATATGAAGATCAAACTGAGAAGATCTTCAGGACCTGTCAGAAAAAATCTTCTCGGACTGAAAGAGTTGACTCGTCTTATCATTCCAAGAAAGAAACAGACCACTGTATTCAGTCTGCGAACTGGAACCAAAATACTCCACATCCAGCTGTACAAGACAATCAAGATTGGGGACAGCACATTAGAATACTGAACACGTGCTGCAGACATGCTCTCTACATACAGCAGAAAGATTCCAGGTCTGGCCAGTTAGTATTCCAGTGGAAACCATGCAGTATGGATCAGTGGAGGAAATAGGTTGTATCATAGCCATCACAAAGGCCTGTGGCCTTCTCATCTTCTCCCACTGGCAGGGAGAACTGAACTCTTTGCATTAAACGGCTGTAAACATCGGCAGACAGTTTTGGTTATTCGTCCACTCCTAGACTTTAGTCTTGTTCCAGAAGAAGTTTGCATGCACATCTGTTTTACAGATCTGGTTTATCTGCACACAGACCGTTGTTTCCCTGCCTCTCAGACAAATGCACTCTGACTTGGAAGAAAACTCCTAATTTGTTGACTCTTACTAAATGCTTGTTAGGAAGGCAGTGGGTCTATTCTAATTCTCTCTCTCTCCCCCCCCCCCCCCCCCTTTTCCCCAATCCCCAATGAGGCCCAGAACCCACACAGGAAGCAAGGAGAACTGAAAGAAGTCTTACCATTCCAGCTTGTGCTGTTGCTGCTGTTCCAGGTTTCTTCCGTTTCTTTTCTTTCTGTCCCTCGTCTTGTTCTGCTTCTACTGTCTGTTAAATGAAATCTTTTTAAATCATTGTCATACTGTTACCATTATTTTAGTTTTATAGTAAAGAGACCAAAGAGGGTTTGACACGAGATTCCAGGCCCCTATCTTAGACCATACATAACCATCTCCTGGTTTGTCACTGCCACCAAACTTTCCAGTCCATCACAATGTTCTTTAAAGCCTCTTTCTTCCCCACACAGTCAAAGAATGCTGTTTGTCTCTTTATACAGATCAGCATATTCAAAGAAAAAAGATTCACATTCATAATTTGACATTTATGCTTTTAAATAGTTCTCTCTCCCTGCCCCCCCCCTCCCCCCCCCCCAATTTATTTTGAAAGCTAAGCCTTTCTTTGCAGTATTAATTATAATGCCATTCTCTAAACAATAACAGACTGTGTGTCATCTCCACAGAGATGGCTAGCTAGTGTAGTCAATACCTTGTGGATAGTATGGTGTTAAGCAAAACAATCTCTTCTATAGAGTGACTCTTGTACCCCTGTCCAAAAACCACGAGTAAAATAAGTTGCAATTGCGTACTTTATCAAGCATACAGAAGCAAAACATAGGGTCAAGACAAGAATGTGTAAGACCTGTTTCCTTGTCTTCAGGTGTAATTAGTATAAAGTGCTAGCCAGTATGTTTATAGGTCCAATTAACGAAAATGTGGTAAACATCCTAAAGATGTCTTTACTTCCCAGAAGATTTCCTGTAATTTTTTTTTTTTTTTTGGGTTGGTCAACCTAGAAGCCCAAATCAGCTTTAAAATCCACCTCGATAGGTATTTTTAAATGTGTGTGCCTCTGTGTGTATGTGAGTTTCTGTGTGTGTCAGCCTGCATGTGTGTGTGTGTGTGTGTGTGACTGTGTGTATGCATGTATACGTCTGTCCTTATGCACAGATGCAAAGAACACCTGTATGTGTGTTTGTAAATATGTTTGTGAATGAATTTATGTATTTTGTGGGTGTGTATGTATGTGTGTGTGTAAGTGAATGAGTGAGTAGGTGGGGATGTGTATGTGGGTGTGTGTCGCGCATGAGTGTGTGCTACCCATGCTTTTGAGTTTTTTCTTGATATTCATATTATCCTTTTCACTACATGAACACAACTTGTTTTATTGAAAAAATTCAACTGCTGGGTGAAAGATGGATGTTTAGAAGGGCCGAATGTAAGATGGCATTAGTGTCCGATTTGTAACCCTTTGAAAATAAAGCTTGTTTGTTTGTTCTCTTTCTTAGTGTTCACCGGCTGAAAACTTTAGCCAAAAGTTCTGGTTGTTTATCCTTTCCTGGACTCTGTCATGATCCAAAACTAGATTTTTCCTTGCACATCCATTTTATAGATCTAGCTTTTTTTGTATGCAGACTGTTAGTTCCTCGCCTCTCAGGCAGATACACTCTGACTTTGAAGCAAACAAAACTCATTAGTTGCCTCCTATGGCTTGCTTGTCAGGGGGTCAGTTCATTGTTCTCCAAAATTGAGTTCTGGAACTTACTTGCGCAAATTGGGTTTTTGGAGACTTGAACTACGGGCTCATATAGCGTAAGGCAATCCCAATCAGTACAAAGAGACATCTCATACAAAGCATATTCACTCCCACCCTATGCTACCAGTGCCAGATGTGGTCACTCACAACAAAACATAAAAGACAATTAGTAACCATGGAAATGAGGTGTCTGAGAAAGGCTGTTGGAGTGACCAGAAGAGATACAAATCAGGAATGAGGTCATAGGAGATAAAGTCGACACAAAACCAATTCTAAATTACACAAAGAGATAGCAAATCAAATTGTTTGCCCACTTAGAGAGAAGGCCTTCTGATGCTATACCATTCAAGGCATATACCAAAAGAGAAGAGAAACAAAGAGCAAGAGGTAGACCAAGAACAACACATAAGGATAACATCAGAGGAACTATACAGTACCACAATGTGTCTTTGGTTGAAGCAGGACCTTATATCTCCCTCGACACCCGAAGCAGTAAAAGAGGACGTAAAGAAGCAGAACAACAACAACAGGTCAGTTGGCAAGCCTGCTGGCCACAGTATTACAAACACTTCCAGCTCCACAGAGTGAAACACATGATTACCTGGACATAGATGATGAAACTATACGTTGGCTGGGTCAACTGTCTCCCAACCAATGTAACCAGTTTCTCAAACCGGCTGCCCAGATGTCCGGTCTTGTTGGTGTACAAGCTGATGTACTGTAACACAACAAGTCATTGTTATTTCAGTTGCAAGTAAGTGGGTTTAAATAGCATGATTGGAACATTACAAGTTAGTTAGTCAACAGATTATCATCCATCATCGCACAGTGAACCATTCAGTCCATAATTGCTCAGATCCCCTCTTCAGTATCTCCCTCAGCGTGTGGTGGCTTATGACATCAGTTCTGTGTTGGTTTACTATTCTTCTTTGGGCCCCTGTGTAGCGCTTTTGTGTGGCTTCACCCCTTTTGATGTTATGTTCGTGTAGTCTCGTCAGTGTTGCAGATTCACAATCATTACTTGATATGTTTAATCGAGCCGCCTCTCTGAGGGCATTCAGTAGATCAGCCATCCTTGCTCTTCATTTCCCCATGTTAGCATCACTTGCAAGTCTGTCAGCACGTTCATTGCCCTTTACACCAGAATCCCCAGAAACAAATATGAAACTGATTGTGGTCAGCCTAGATCTATTCAGGGACTCCACCCATTGTCTTCATATGCAACCCTTCTCCATCTTCTTGAGCATATTCATCGAGTCGCTGAGAAAGCATGCCTGGATGAAAGCCAGGTTATTGCTTTAGTTGCTGCTACTTTTGTAATTAACAAATGTGACAAAAGAAATAAGGGTGTTTAGAATAAAAAGGCAGTATGTAGTATCTGTAACTTACTATGATTAGTAAAAATGTTCTGCAAATTAATTAAGTTGAAATTTTGTGCACTTTAGTATGAAGAAAATCCGTGTATTCCCTACAATTCACACCAACATCAAGCTATATGCTCCAACTCTATATCAAACTGCACAACTTGTAATTGTTTTTTGGGTGATCTAATAACATAACTATTATAACTTATGTGTTTGGTGACGGATGTCAACTTTTAAAAACCATCCTTTGTATGGTTTATGGGGTGATTTAATAATATAACAATTGTAACTTACGTGTTTGGTGAGGGAAGTCAGGGTGTTATATAGTTTGGTCAGTGATTTGAGAAGAGCCTGGCAGCAAGGTTTTGTCTTGACAGCCGAGTGTGTCAACTCAATGAAACTGTTGACCAACAAACCCAGCCTTGTACACATGGCCTTGTCCAGGGTCTCTGTCTGTGTGGCACTGAAACAATCTGTCAAACATAAAGATAAAGAAATATATCTTTTGAGCATGCAGTCATCCTTTTAAACATGCTGTCATCCTGCATATCTCACAACAAAAGAGACTGCAAGGCTTTAGAAAACTGTCCTAACTGCTAGTTAGGATTTAATTTTGCCATAAGGCTCAAAGTCCAATGGAGTTTCCTTTGACTCATTTTTCTTACACTTGGTGTATAGTCCCAATTACACCTTTGGGTACCTTTCTCTTTTTGTATCCATCCAACATGTCTCCCTTATTATATATATATATATATATATATATATATATATATATATATATATATATATATATATATCTGTGTGTGTGTGAGAAAGAGAGAGAGAGAGAGAGAGAGAGAGAGAGAGAGAGAGAGAGAGAGAGAGAGAGAGAGAGAGAGAGAGAGAGAGAGAGAGAGAGAGAGAGAGAGAGAGAGAGGAGAGAGAAGAGAGAGAGAGAGAGAGAGAGAGAGAGAGAGAGAGAGAGAGAGAGAGAGAGAGAGAGAGAGAGAGAGAGAGAGAGAGAGAGAGAGAGAGAGAGAGGTAATTCTTTCATACGTACAAATCATCATGTCATGTGTGAATGGCTATCTTCCATGTGAACAAATTATGTCATTTATAAATGGTAATTCTTTCATGTGTACTAACCATCAAGTCAAGGTGCATGGCAATTATTTCCTGTCTACCAATCAACATGTCATGTGCACATGGCAATTCTTTCCTGTCTACCAATCAACATGTCATGTGCACATGGCAATTCTTTCCTGTCTACCAATCAACATGTCATGTGCACATGGCAATTTTTTCAAGTGGTCTACCAATCATCAAATCATGTGTGCACAGCCCTTTTTTTTTCATGTGTACCAATCATCACATTAATGGCTTTTCTTCTTGTTTACAAAAGATCATTTCAATCAAGCCAGTCATGGATAATGGAAACTTGACTTTCACACCCCACCAACACAACATGCCTACTGCCCTTTTAGAGGGGATCACAGAAAAAGACACCTGTGACGTGTGGCAGCTTCAAGCTGATGTGTGTCGTAGCAAAGGTTGAAATAGGTCAAGTGGGGTTAAAACGTAGGAACTTCAATGCTTTTCAACGGTAGAAAAACGAACGCTCGTAGTTAGGTTCCAACTGGTGTATTGATATATACACTCAATTAACAGATGAGAAAAAAATGCAATTATCCAGACTCATCCAAACCACCCACACAAGAAACCACTCGAAATCAGCTGACCTATTACAAACGACAGGTTGCAGTCCGACCTTTAAAATCCAGACAGTCGGTAGTATAAGTATACCGGCTTACAGTCGACTCGTACATGAATCGACTGATCAGTTCACACGACGGGTCGCAGTCCGACCTTGGAAATCCCTACAGTCATCTCAATATTCTCTCTCGCGGCTTAAACAAGGTAAGATAAGTATACCGGCTTACTGTCAAATGAAATATTCACTATACCAGCTTTTTGCTGAGGATTATAGTGGAGTACCTGGGTAGAGCGTCCTCAAGGATCCAACTTCATACAATGACTGCTTTCAGTGGCATCCCGGGGTATAACATCCTCAAGGTTCCACACGTCTGTCCCATTCAGACTGTAAACATCGAATGCCTTTGACAACAATACCATAACGATATCACATATTGTTTTGACGTCTTATTTGCTCACTCAGTACCGGTGCGTTCTAGTGCACATCCGCACGTGACAGCACCCCACCAGCAAATTACTCTCACACATTCACAAAGAGCTCATAGATTGATCAGTTCTGCTGTAGTTGCAGATGGCTGGCCTATGGACCGCACCAACATTGTTAATACCCACAGAGATTTTGGATGAACAGAGAGCAGCATCTTTACATCACTGTTAAGAATGTGAGAATAGGGAGTAAAGATCAAACGAACAAACAAACTTTATTTTCAAAGGGTCACAATTTGCGCATGCAGGCCCATCTTTTATTCGGCCCTTTCAAACACCCATCTTTCACACAGCAGTTGTATTTTGACACATCGAAGCATGAAAGGCATACTGGACGGATAAGAAGTAGCAACCAACAAATGACTGGCACTATTAACCAAGGGACACTGATGTATATGTTGAAGGGGGAATCAAAGTGTTCAAAGTGCCATAAAGATAATCCAACTCAAAAACCAAATACAAAAAAGCACAATGTGAGCATACTGGGGGGAAAAAAAGGGTTATCTCACTGCTCTAGTTTCTGCTGGATGATAATGACGAAGAACACAGCTGATTATTTCAAACAAAATGTCAGAATACAGTCATACCACAACATTCTACAGAACAGCTACCTTCTGATGTCCCAGACCCTGCTATCATGTCTGCCTTGTGCCGGTAGATAACCCACTCAACATCATCCAGATCACTTTCGATGTGGTTTAACACTAATGTCAGAACTGCAGCTGTTGGGCAATGCGTTGCTTTTGTCACTGACAAGTTGGTTTTGTTTTCCACCTCACAATCCTAGGTAAATAAATAATTAACAACATTTAATCAGTAACAAACAATAAACACGACAAACATGCAATAGTAATTATATTTTCTAAAATGTATAGTGTGGTAATTATATGTCAAATCTTTTGTAGAATTTACTGTTATATGTGCTGCTAAGTGTAACTTACAAATAGTACAATGTATAGGTATTTAGGCAGGCACATATCTACATAAGTATGTGTGTGGACTATATGAAGTGTATTAATATGCAAGTATTGGTATGCCTTTGATTGTGCGTCGGGGGTCGGTAGTTGTGTGTGTGTGTGTGTGTGTGTGTTGGGGGGGGGGGGGGGGGGAGGGGGGGGGGGGGGGGGGGGATTATAAACTCAGCTACAGATGCAAAATTTTTACTTTTAACTCAATATATACAAGAGTAGTTTATCTTTCTATTAATTTCTTTTTCTACCTGAAAATGTCCTGGGAAGTAAGGGTGCCTGACAAGATTTTGACATCACCCATGAAATGTTGATGGGTCAATGAAAATATTGGCCTAGAGCCCCAATCCCCCCCCCCCCCCCCCCCCCCCCCCCCTCTCAATAGGCACTAATCAACAGACCCTTTACCTTTTTTTAAACAATTCTGTTAGCCATTTCTGGTAACATGAAATATATTTAGATTAAGAACAAGAAGGAACACACTGTATTTGCAATGGGTGACACAATGTTAGATTATCTAAATATTCACAGCAAAATTTATATCTTAATCAAAACCCAAGAAAGGTGTAAACAAAGCAATACTAAAATAATAATACCAATGATTTAACCGTCTTAAATAAATAATGACATAATACATAAAATAACAAATATATACTCTGAGAACTCAAAGAGCATTTTATTTTCCATTATAACCCTGAGGGTTGAACATGAGATTTTTATGAAAATTACTACAACTACAATGGGTTAAGAATTGGACCCATAGCCCTGTTTAACATTCTGCCCTTTCATACATGATACAGAATGTAAAAGAAGGCTATTCTGTTAAATTTGATTAGAACGTGAGAGGAAGGGGAAAAAGTTTTACCGGGTCAGTATCTCCAAACTGGCTATGTATGTCTTGGCAAATACTGCGCAAAAGTGCCGGCAGAGTCTTGGTCTGCTTGGCAAGGTTCAACAGGGTGGACAGAATCTGCTTGCAGGCGGAGTTGTCCTCTAGAAAAAATCAATAGCTGCCACATAGGTTAATATTCTCAATTAAAACACACAATAAATCAACAATTTGAGCTATCACAGCATACAATGAATCATCAATCTGAGCTATCACACACAGACAATATATAAACAACATGAGCTTTCACACACAATAAATCAACAACCTAAGCTACCACACACAATAAACCAACAACCTAAGCTACCACACACAATAAATCAACAACCTAAGCTACCACACACAATAAACCAACAACCTAAGCTACCACACACAATAAACAAACACAAACTACCACACAAACAAAACCTACCACACGCAATAAAATCAACAACTAAGCTACCACACACAATAAACCAACAACCTAAGCTACCTAAGCTACCACACATAATAAACACAATAAACACCAATAAATTAACAAACCTAAGCTACCACACACAATCAACAACCTAACCAACAGAATAAACAAACTAAGCTACCACACACACACAACTAATACCAAACCAACAACAACCTAAGCTACCACACACAATAAACCACCAACAACAACTAAGCTACCACACACAATAAAACAACAACCTAAGCTACACAAATAAATCAACAAACTAAGCTACCACACACAATAAACCAACAACCTAAGCTACCACACACAATAAACCAACAACCTAAGCTACCACACACAATAAACCAACAACCTAAGCTACCACACACAATAAACCAACAACCTAAGCTACCACACACAATAAACCAACAAACTAAGCTACCACACAGAATAAACAAACTAAGCTACCACACACAATAAATCAACAACCTAAGCTACCACACACAATAAACCAACAACCTAAGCTACCACACACAATAAATCAACAAACTAAGCTACCACACATAATAAATTAACAACCTAAGCTACCACACATAATAAATTAACAACCTAAGCTACCACACACAATAAATCAACAAACTAAGCTACCACACACAATAAATCAACAAACTAAGCTACCACACATAATAAATTAACAACCTAAGCTACCATACATAATAAACACAATAATACCACACACAACAACCTAAGCTACCACACACAATAAATCAACAAACAAGCTACCAACCTAAGCTAACAACCACACACAATAAATCAACAACCTAAGCTACCACACACAATAAATCAACAAACTAAGCTACCACACACAATAAATCAACAACCTAAGCTACCACACATAATAAAAACAACCTAAAGCTACCAACAATAAATTAACAACCTAAGCTACCACACACAATAAATCAACAACCTAAGCTACCACACACAATAAATCAACAAACTAAGCTACCACACATAATAAATCAACAACCTAAGCTACCACACACAATAAATCAACAAACTAAGCTACCACACACAATAAATCAACAACCTAAGCTACCACACATAATAAATTAACAACCTAAGCTACCACACATAATAAATTAACAACCTAAGCTACCACACATAATAAATTAACAACCTAAGCTACCACACACAATAAATCAACAACCTAAGCTACCACACACAATAAATCAACAACCTAAGCTACCACACACAATAAATCAACAACCTAAGCTACCACACAGAATAAACAAACTAAGCTACCACACACAATAAATCAACAACCTAAGCTACCACTCACAATAAATCAAAAACCTAAGCTGCCACACACAATAAACCAACAATCAACAAATGAGGTCCTGGAACCCAGGCGGGGAAACCCTATTTTTTACTCAACCTAGCCACTGCCAACAGCTGTACACACAACGAAGCTGAGTCTCAAACTAAACTATTGTGACCAGTCATCTTGCCTTACCCAGGTTTCAATCTATGACTTTCCACTTTTTTTCATGCTATGAACAAATGTACAAGCAAACAGCATTTGATTGGATCAGATATATTGTGCAAAGTTACAACAGGGATTCTCACATTCTCAATACATATGGCCCTAACCCACTTAGTTGTAAATGTCAAACTCCAATAACCCTGTCAGACCTATGACACTCAGAATGCTCACAAACTGTTGTCATCTGGAGGTGACATGTTCTAAATCCTGGCATTGTAGCCATAACTTTAGATTTGTATGGTGTCAAGTAGGTTCTTCTCTCTCTCCACTTCTTTCTGTGTGTGCCAATCATCAAAGTCAAGGTCCCTGTACATGCCAGTGGTGATTGGGGATATGAGGCTAGACTCATATTTTCATAGACCAATCAGCCCTCAGTGGGATGATGTAGTCAACATCAAGCAGGCCGCCTTTGCTTTCCAAAACTTTACCTGATATCCTTTTAAGGCTGGATCGACCTGGGGGCCCAAGGTAATGCTTGAAACAACTTTTGCATCGTGTGGATTTGAACAACCTTTGGATCTGTCACTACACCACGGCGGCTCCCGAGTGCCAATCAGTATGGTCTATTAGTTTATAATACAACAAGTTTGCTACTCAGTATGACCCCGCCCTTTTAAGGGTGAATGTAGCAGAAGCATGACCCCGCCCTTTTAAGGGTGAATGTAGCAGAAGCATGACCCCCACCCTCTTAAGGGTCACGCAGCAGCAGAAGTATGACCAACTGTCAAACCCACACACACACAAAATCACACAAAAAAGAAGTACCATACCTATAGTGTGATCTGTTGCAATCTTCACGACCCATGCATAAACCTGCTGGTACTCCTGGCCCTCTGGGGGCAGGTGGGAGCTCAGACTGGCAATAACTGACACAAGTGTGGACCCCTCCTTCCAGTTCTGGTTCTCTTTGTCTTCATTTAGAAACGTGACAAACAGCCGCTGAATGAAGATTCAATAAAGACAGTAAGTTTGACATCACTGTTCCTTTTAAAACTGTTAACTTAGTAAAAAGACAAGAAAGTACATGTTACTCCTCTTTGTGATGCTCTATGGTATAACTAGTAGGACAAAAGAAGAAGAACTAACTGCTTAAGCAGCAGTGGTTACATAATGGCCAGACGCTCACCTGCAGACCAAAGGGTTGAATCTGCACTGAGTTTGAATTTAAACAACTGAACGTAGCTGCCAGGCTATTATGAAAGTGTATGATAACAAGGCCATAATGACAGAGGTATGATAACAAGGTTATAATGACAGAGGTATGATAAGAAGGCTATAATGTCAGAGGTATGATAACAAGGCTATAATGTCAGAGGTATGATAACAAGGCTATAATGACAGATGTATGACAACAAGGCTATAATGACATAGGTATGATAACAAGGCTATAATGACAGAGGTATGATAACAAGGCTATAATGACAGTGGTATGACAACAAGGCTATAATGTCTGAGGTATGATAACCAGGTTATAATGACAGAGGTATGACAACAAGGCTATAATGACAGAGGTATGATAACTAGGCTATAATGACAGAGGCATGACAAGGCTATAATGATAGAAGTATGACAAGGCTATAATTACAGAGGTATGACAAGGCTATAATGACAGAGGTATGAGAAGGCTATAATGACAGAGGTAAGACAAGGCTATAATGACAGTGGTATGCTGACAAGGCTATGATGACCAGGCTATAATTTCAGAGACACGACAGGGGTATAATAACAGAGGTATGGTGACAAGGCTATAATGACAGAGGTATGATGACAAGGCTATAATGATAGAGGTTTGTCAAGGCTATATAATAACAGAGGTATGATAGGGGTATAATGACAGAGGTATGATGACAAGGCTATATAATAACAGGGGTATGAAAACAAGGCTGTGATGACAGTGGTCTGTTTTACTTCTTTATATTCACTAGCTGTAAACTCTGGTGGAAATTTCCGGTTCTTCATCCACTTCTGGAATTCAGTCCCGTTCAAGAACCTGATGTTTTCAATGCAGACTGTTGGTTCCTCACACATCAGGCGGATGTAGGCCAACTTTATATGAAACATCCCCAATAAGTCGACTTTCACTTATTTATTGGGCACAGTAGGTCTATTTTCTTTGTCCCAAAAATGGGGCCCTGAAGAGACTAAGAGAATGACAGTGGTATGACAACAGTGGTGACAACAGGGATGACAACAGGGAGTGTGACAACAGTGGTGTGACAACAGTGGTATGACAACAGTGGTATGACAACAGTGATATGACAACAGGTGTACCAGAACAGTGGTATGACAACAGTGGTATGACAACAGTGGTACGACAACAGTGGTATGACAACAGTGGTATGACAACAGTGGTATGACAACAGGGGTATGACAACAGTGGTATGATGATGAGAGTATTTCCTCTTTCAGGCCCATGAATTTTGACAGACTTGGCCCACATTAATTTCCCTTTACAAAAATGGCAGAGGGTTGGATGTACAAGAAAGGCTGTAGAGATTGTAATATACTTCTAATCCCTATAAAAGTATATATTTTTTAAAAGAGAAATGAATGTACATTTTGAATCTGTTGATAAGTGTTTGTTTGATTTTGTTATAGTTAGTGGAAAAGAAGAATTCAGCAGGTGTTAATTTCACAAGAACAACATTTTCACAAAAAAATTCTTCACTTACCATGGTTTTGCAGCCACAAGAGTAGTAAAGATCCAAATTTGAGAACAAAACTTCAAAGTTTGTTCAATTTCCTAACATATTCTAAAGTTATGATAACTTTTTGGGTTAGTTTATCACTCAGGGGCTCTTAGTTCTCACCGAGTGCTAAGCAAAATTTCAGAGAAAAAATGGCAGAAAAATGAGCCATTACACACACACTATTTACTATTCACTTTGTACAGTTATTTACAGACTATAGCTGCAATGATTTCAATGTAGCTTAGCCATAGTATAGTACTGTCTCTTTGTTTAGAGCACTTTCCTTCTCTTACACCATAAATACGGTAACAATGGGAAATAAAACTATAAGGATTTAGGCAGAGTGACTTTCCCTGAATAGTTTAATCGTACCTCCAAACTTTAGAAACTAGTACGAACGCGCGTGCGAAGCAAAATGTAAGGGACACACGATTGATGATGACACCGTTGTTTGGGCAGAACGGAACTTCTCAAACTACGCTCACACCGTTCTTTGGGCCTTAAAGAGTTAAAGACATGGGTATAATGATGAGGGTAGGATGACAGGGGTATCGGGAGAGATATGATAAGGGTATGGTAACAGAGATATGATTATACAGGTAAGATGATGGGTCAGAATAAAGTAGATGAGACATTTCCTCAACAAACACAAAGAAACTTAAATTATTTTTCACTGGACAGACTCAGTACCTGGAATTTCTTAATGTGGGAGTGAATTTTCGCTTCCCTGTCTTTTATCTGATCTTTTGTCTCAGTGGCTTCTTTCTCTGGGGGGAACAAAGGAAAATAAGATATAATAATGTTCTATTAAAAGTCAATGTTGAATGTTGAATTAAGAATCGACATCACACCACTCGGGACACGAACATAAGTGCTGGGTCCCCATTTTCAGCTGCAAGCGAAGAGTTTCAATTCTGATGGTACCAGTAACCGTCTGATTGTATATCCATCTCATCCTTCCCTTGAGTGTTGAGCTTCGGCCAGACCCCCTGGTAACTCTTTGCAGCGCCATTTTCCTTAGATCGTAATGATCTATCTGTGCCTCCGCACTGTTTACTCGCTCCCAAAGGGCCTTCACAATATCTAACTTGCCATACATCAATTCACAGGTATTCATTCATTTGCTTTCTTACTCTTTTTTCCATCAATTTTGCCAGTTGTAACAAAGTCCATCACTTCTCATAAAATTATTAAACAAGAAAAAAAAAAAAAAAACTCACTTGCTTGATCTAATTATAGCTTCTTCTTCTCAGCGTTCACCTGCTGTAAACTCTGAAGGAAAGTTCTGGTTGTTCATTCACTTGACTTTTTATTCTCATTCCACAACTTCAGCTTTGCGTGCACATCTGTTTTACAAATATGACCTAAATGTAGGTGCCTTGCCTCTCCAGCAGACATGCTGTGACTTTAAAGGAAACAGCCCTTTTTAGTATACTTTAATAACACACTTGTTAGGATGTAGCTCAGGGTTATTCAACTAAGTTTTCTCAGGGGCCGAAAAATTTACAATGAGAATCATCACAGGCTACAGGCCTGAGTCCCACCATAGAAAGATCATTAAACAATACAGATGGCGACGATCAGTGGGCCACTGGCTGGACCTCTGGGAGCCTGATTCCACTCATGGGCCACCATGTGAATAGCCCAGGTGTGGTGGATCTATTATTTCTCCCCTGACATTTGGGCCCTAGAAACCACCCGGGGAAACTCATTATAGCAAAACTATATAAATAATAAACTAGCCTACCAAACTGAAGCAAACACTCAAGGACTGCAGATTTCCCTGTGGAGCTGGCTATGTGGACGACCAGACTCACTCCCTCCAGACACAGAACAGTTAATTTTTTGCTGTGCTGATCTGTAGCAGTGTGACTTTCTTTGCTTTCCACAAAGTACCAGTAGAACAACCTTGTTAGAATAGGCAAACAGGAAAAAACATATTTCACAATTCAGGATGTTATATTTACATCTCATTTTCATAGATGTTTAGGGCAAGGCTTGCCAAGATAAAGAAAACATGGGGGGGGGGGAGTGTCAGAAAGAGAGAGAGAGAGAGAGAGAGAGAGAGGAGAGGAGAGAGAGGAGAGGGAGGAGGGGGGGAGGGAGGGGGGAGGGAGGGAGGGAGGGAGGAGGAGAGAGAGAGAGAGAGAGAGTGAGTGTGTGTGTGTGTGTGAGAGAGAGAGAGAGAGAGAGAAAGCTGGAGAGAGAGAGAGAGAGCTAGAGAGAGAAGCACTCTGGCCCCCTTCAAAATTTTTAATGGGGAAGGGGGCACCAATAATTTTGTAAGGAGGCTAAGTGGCCCCCCTTTAGCCACATAGAGACATGCTTTTAAAAATAATTGTTTATATATTTACTTCAATTTATTTCAAGTAAATCATTATTTGATATACTGAAACTTCGCCTGACACCTCGATGAGGTACAAGGTGGAATAGAAGAAGAAGACCTCTTAGCTAAGACTGGTTGCTGATGGATTTGTCCCAAATACAGTGAAGAGTGCGAAGTCTATTCTTCATCACATTCATTTGAATTTATTTTGATAAAATCGCAACAAAAACATACTTTGTTGCGTAAAATGCTACTTTTTTTTAAGGATGGTTTAGGACAAAGAGGTCTTGAGTCTGAGAAACTAGCACTGCCTGGCTAGTGCAGTTGCCTAAATTGTGCCAGTTTTCTGTTTCTCTGTTCCACCTGCCAGTAGTTTTCAGATGAGACGGCCACATTCCTCTGTGAAGTCTGTGCTGCGACGTGTGTCATCCACTCTCTATATAGCTTGATTTCTACTGGAATGCCAACTGACTAAACCTGGTATCTCTTTACAACATGCAGAAAGGATTCTGTAGCACATGTTCAGTATTCTGTGGGTGCCTATCCACATAAGCAAAGGCAAAGTTCTGAATTCCCAGTTTTGAATTTGTTGTACATATCACTGTAGAGTCTAACACACAAAATAAATATAATGTTCTGTTTTTTCTCGTGTCAGGAGGTTAACTGGGTCTTCAGGACTGTGTCCTGGATGAGAAGTGATCCAGTGGGTTTTAATGGCTGCCTTGATCTCTGCTTTATTTTCTTCATAAGCATATCCAGGGCAAGTAAGGATATTTATTTCTGTCCAACCATAAAACAGACACCAAATTATCGAATGATATGAAAACTATAAAAGATACTAACCTGCCTAAACTCCAGCATTTCTGCAGTAATTTCTCTTTACTGGGAATCTCTCCATCAAGGGTTCCTTTCTGAGAGACTTGAGTGAGCTTCTGGATGGCTACAGACATAAGGTGAAGGAAGAACTCCTTGTGTTCTTGCAGCTGCTTAATGCCTGCTTCATCACTTGCATCTTGGTGGCTGTCGGCATAAACACACTGTTAGCTTTCTTTATTAGAGTAAACTATCACAGGTTACATGTGCATACAGTTGCAAGGAACAACAAACTGCACACAAATAAGTCAGCAAAACATGTACACACAAAACTCCAAATGGACGAACAACCAGGATTTTCCTCTGGAGCTTACAGCCAGTAAACAAAGAAGAAGAAGAAGAAAAAGAGATTCATCTCACTCAGTGATGACTCTTCAATGCGTATAATGTATAACACAAAATTTAAAAAGTAAGCATACAATTTCTTTTTTTTTTTTTCCAGTAAAATAACTGAATTGCACATTTGGAGTAGCAAAAAATAGTAAAGGGCACTCTTAAAACAAATATTATATATATAATAAACAAACAGACAATGTATTGATTGGCACTCACAGATAAAAGTAGAAAGATAGGACAAACTAGACAACATAAAAATTGCCTCAGGAATCAAACCTGTCATCTCCAAGTGGCATGTACACCTCACTATGAAAACAAGTGTACTAAGAACATGACCAACTATGTATCCCTAAAATGTTTTCACTGGCCAATTCTATCGTATGGCCTGAAATCCACAACCATGGAATACAGACAGAATTCATCTCTAAACCATTGAAATGGCGCCATAGGTATATTTCCTCCTCTTTTTATGTTATCAGAAATTGTACATTGGACATATAGTTCTAGACTCACATTATTTATAAACAACTATTTTATGTCGGGCAAAAGATTTCTAAAAATAATAGGCCAGCAGTTTTGCTTCGTAGCTTCACAGCATGGACAACTATACTTACTCGATGATACTCTGCAGAAAGTTGAGAACACACTGTAAGGACAGAAGACTTATTGGAGTCTTGAAATGAGAAGTTTTGCCTTTCTTGCCAGCTGCTGGTGAGGACTTCTCCTTGAGAATGTTGCTGAGCTTGAGGTATTTGGTGAAGAGCTGAATTACCAATGAACAGCTTTCAGCACTAAGAAGACAAATACATATATATGTTATGGATGGCTCAAAACTCCCCATGTGGGTTTCAAGGACCCCACTGTAGCTGTAGACCCCTAACAAGCATGTAGTAAGAGTCTAACAATGAGGGATGTTTACTTCAAAGTCAGAGTGCATCTGCCTTACAGTTGAGAAACCAACAGTCTGTACACAAATAAGCGAGATCTGAAAAAAAGATGTGCAGAAAAGATTCAAGTTCTGGAACAAGACTAGAGCCCAGAAGTGGACAGGCAAACAAACTTTCCGCTAAAGTTTACAGCAGGTGAATGCAAAGAAGAAGAAGGATGGCTCAAAATGAGATTATAAACACATAAACTAATCACCCACTAGTCCTTTCTCTTCTATATTTGAATGATCATGGGCTTGAATTCCAATTCCTTTTAAAAAAAAATAAAAAAACTCAACCACGTTCAACCTGCTGCTAACTAGCTGAAGTTGCCAACAGTCTCCGACTATATTTGTGGTCTTGTTTATTTGCGTTACTTTTGTGGCTAAAGTTCTGGTATTTGCGCCGTCTCTGGGCCTAGTGCTTCTTTCCTCCATGTCAGGCCGCTCATTCCCTATCCTTCTTGCCCTTCCATTTCTGATCTTTCCTCCTTGGTTTCAGCTCTTTCTGATTTGGCCAGGTGTATTTCACAGGACAGCGAGCTTCTCAACATTACGTCCTTTGGACCACCATTTATAGTTTTAAAATTTTGGGTATTTTACTTTGCCGAAAAGTACTGAAAACAGTTGTTAGGTTTGCATCATGTGCTTTACCGCTTTGTATTATTTTAAAATAGTTACCTAAATACATATATCATGTTAATAAATGAAAGGCATAGAAATACCAACATATTTATGCAAACTCTGCACTAGTGACCATTTAAAATTTATGTTATAATTATAACTTTAACAGAGACAGCCTCCGACAGTTATTATTTTCAGTCCTTCTCATGTACAGTATTATTATAAAATAACTCTTCTTTTCTTCTTCTTAGCATTCACTGACTGTAAACCCTGGAGGCAATTTCTGGTAGCTCATTCACTTCTAGACTCTGGTCTTGTTATAGAACTTGAATTTCACAGATCCGGCAGACTATTTGCTCCTCATCTCTTGGGCAGATACACTCCAACTTCGAAGTAAACACCCATAATAAGTTAAGTCGCCTTTTAAGATATGCCTGACATGGCCAAAGCAACACAAACATAGACAGATGAAGGAATATACCTGCATTGTCCCGATTCAAAGTTGTACTCCATGAGAACATCATACAGACCAAGCAGCAGAATGGCATAGATATTGTTCTTCACTCCTACACTGTTATTGCACGAAAAGTCTGCACTCTTATCCTACAGAAAAACATTCAAGAGAATCTATTTCAACTCATTCAGTGCCAAGCAGGTGTGACATTAACTCATTCTAATAATGTATAAGTAATCAACATTTGCAGCCAAAACGAAAATCATCGATCTTACCAACGAGTCGAAAGACATCAAACTAAAGGATATTGTTCTTGAAAAAATCACCAGCTTCACATACTTAGGGAGCAAGATAACCTCTGCGGGAGATACAACATCAGAAATAACGACTCGAATCGCGTTAGCATCAAGTGCCTTTAACAAACTGTCAAACATTTGGAAGTCAAGATCACTCAGCAACAACACGAAACTTAAGGTCTTCAATTCCTGTGTGATCCCAGTGCTAACTTATGGTTGTGAGAGTTGGAAATCATCAGTATCAATCGATAAGAAACTAGTCGCTTTCGAGAATAGATGCCTCCGAAAGCTATTGAATGTTCACTGGTCGGACTTTAGGTCCAATACATCTATAAGACAGGAAACAAAAACAAAAATATGTGTCTGATTTTATTAGAAAGCGTCGCTGGAATTACATCGGTCACGTACTCAGAATGGACATACAGAGACTTCCCCACCAAGCCTTCATATGGTCACCAGAGGGTAAAAGAAAACAGGGAAGACCAAAAGAAACTCTCCGTAGAACCATCACAAGGGAGAGCTCAACCATAGGTCTCAGTCGCACTCAAGACCTACATCAAGTGGCAAAGAACCGACAGACGTGGAAAGCTATGACCTCTGCCCTATGCGCCATCTTTGGCACAAGAGGAATAACTAACTAACTAACTAATCAACATTTGGGAGTTAAGAGTTAATAACAGGATTAAACCTACATATACAGGTCAGTATTTACTGGTTCTGTGCCAACTCTCCTCCTGATATCATCGTTCCTATTAGGGACCTGTGTAATATGATTGTTGTTTTTTTTAAAGGTTTTTCAAGGAAATCCCATGGGTTCATGGCCCATTTTTTTTTCCAGCATTCGTGTGGCAAAAGAGAAGTATTGGGGCCGAATGGGTGAGTAAACAGCTAAAATTCAGGGAATTCAGAAACACATATTCAGTCAGTGGAAACTTACAGACTTATGGTGAGTTGCTTGGTACTGAATGAGTTAAAAAAGAAGATGTGTTAAAAAGGATCATGCAAGTGTTTTCAGATACACATTATCTGGATTATCAACAGTGCAACTAAGATCTTGTTTCTGATAAACAGGTCATCATTATCATATACCATGCAGATAAACAAAGTTGACTATGGTTTTGGTTCACCACCTCACATGATCACCAGAGTTGCAGAGTAGGTCTGTGTTCTTGTTATGTTTAGGTCATTTGGCCACACACCATTCAAGTAATTCTTCTATTCATCATCTTTATATTTTTGCTTTTTTCAGGGAAGTTCAGCCATTGTCACTAAGATAGTGTTAACTGGGACAGAAGAATTCAGGGATAGTTGGTCAGAATATGACTCAGATTGTCTTTTCGCCTTTCTTCTCCAGGCCTACTTTATGTGTCAGTGGCTGGCCCTGTATTATTCAGTAATGTTTAATATTCAATATAAACCTCTTAAGAAAAAGCTAGATTAACCCTTTTGCCCTAGAAACATCAGCGAACCCGGGATCTCTACTCATTAGTAATCTCTAAGAAGATTCTTAACCAGCATTCTTTCATTTGTGAGTCCCTGAGCTCTAGTTAACAGCAGTGGTTCTGTTTGCATCTGTGCAGTGTTAAGAAGAGGCAGGATATGATTATCCTTACTAAAAATAACCTTGCGGATGAGGGCTACCATGCATGGTACTTTGCAGCCAGCCCCCGTTTTTTTCAGAGAGCTTATAAACATAAAATATATAAAAAAAAATTTTGTGTGTGGTTAGAATCCAGGAATCAGGAAGAAAATAAAATTAACATTCTACAAGAAACTGACTTGGCTTCCAGTCAAAAATAGGTACCAGGTAATGTCCTGGGAAATAAAGGCAGCTGGCATGATGCTGAGATCACCCATCAAGTGCCAACTGGTCTATAAAAATATGAGCCTAACACTATATGCCAGATGTGCTGCTGGTGTAATTATGGTCCTTTATTCTAATAGAAATGAACACAAAAGAAAACTGGCTCATAAACAGCATTATGTCTAAGAAACTGAAGAACTTCAGCCATATTAAATACAGCAGTGGCTTAGGAAGAACAATAATGGAAGGCAGGTTCCTGGAAGAAAAGGCAGGGATCAACCAGCTCAAAGGTAGTCACATGATATTGGAGACACAAAAATACTAGACACAAAAATACAAACAGTAGTAGTAATACAAACAACAATATCCTGTTTAATCATCTAGGTATATAACTATTATATACTGAATTGTTCTTCTGTTTCAATATTCAATGCTCAATGCTTGTCAATTACTTTTGGTTGTTTAATACAGTGGTGGTGTAGCGGCTAGACGCTTGCCTGTGGATCTGAAGGTCCAGGGTTCAGGTCCTGACAGAGCCTGACTTTTTTCAAAAATGATCTTGGCTCTCAGGTCAGCCTTAAAAGGGTACCAGGCAAAGTCTTGGGAAGTAAAGGTGGCTGCCATGATGCTGACCACATTACCCACTGAGTGCCGATTGGTCTATAACATATAGGTCTCGCTCTATATGCCCAAAACGCATGAAGGTGTGGAAAACTTTACTTTCACTGCAACAGATTGTTGGAATATCCCACAACATCTAGCTTGCCATACATCAATTCACCACCAAGTGGTGCAGAACCGGCCTGTCTATCTGCCTGCTGACTTCCCAACACCAGCATGAACTGGAGAGAATATCCAAAGATACTAACTACCCAGGACCTCTGAAATGATGCTTGCCACTCTGCACGGAGCATACCTGTCTCCACCTTTCTCAACATGCTCTGTGAGTCAGTTACAATCACGGCAGGTGTGTACAGCTGATTCTCAAGCCAAAGGAAGGCTGCAGAAACTGCCCCCACCTCCATTCTCAAACCAGACGTTGTGATATCATATGCCAGGCTTGGTTGCACTAAGCAACATCCATTCGCTTTTGCTATAAACCCACATGCACTTCATCTGCCCCTCAACACAGAGCTATCTGTATAATCACATCATTTGAGCGGAAATTGTCATGAATCATTTGTTGACCTTCTGATTCTGCAGCGCCAGCTGGCAGGTCTCTGCACTCATGACCCAAACTGATAAGAACCCTGCACAAGTCTGAAAGTTGCTCTGACACTTTGACCCACTCCTCACCTCGCACAAGTTTATCAAGCCTACACACATGCCTGATTGTGTCTTCAGCTTGCAACATCCAAGACCTTCCTCTTTTCAGTCTGTGACCCTTAGATCTACCCAGGGCTTTGTGTTAGAGGTGCTTCCTGTCTGCAGCTACTCTGAGATATGACTTTGTTACAATACTATGAATTAATGAAGATATGCAGTGAAATACACTAGTTTTCTTACCAGCTCAAAATCTTCCATTTCTGCATCAATTATTCTCTTAGTGAGGCTTGACAATAAAGCTTGAATTTGTTTCTGTGAGAATTTCTCTCCATCTCCCTCTTCTTCAGCATCATCATCCTCATCATCTCGCTGCATTCTGGACACAATCTCCACAGACTTTCTGACACACTGTTGTGCACATCCGATGAGATGGGCCTGGATACAGAAAAAGTAGGAGTAACAACAGCTGTGTGGTGAACTAATTCTTCTTCTGTAGTCGTTCAAGTTTTTTTAAGGGGTCACTACATGGCATTTTTTCAATTTATTACAAAAATATAACTTTTTCAATGTGCTCGTTTTTGTAAAGTTCGGTATTAGTAGAATAGATTATACACAAGATTTATGTCATTTGTAAACAATTTAGCATCAAAAAGTTAATACTAAAGACATCAACCCATGCACTTTTTTAAGATTTAAAAAAAAAAAAAATTTAAAAGTCAGTTTTCTCACAATTCTATTTTTCTGCGTGTTGTATGTGTAAAAATCCTAATATCTCACCTAATAAAAAGACTAGAAACACGTTAAACAATATTAAAGGGACAGGTCTATTTAAAAGTGGATTTTAGGAAGTTTTTGTTTTTTAAATTTAATTACTGTCTTATGATGCAAAAAATTTTTTTTAACCTTATCAACAAACCTACATTTTAAAATTTTAAGAAAAATATTTACAAACACCTTCAAAGTAAATTAACTATACTTATAGCTGAACATAGGATTCAAGTTCATGAATCCATCATGTGTTTCTCAATACCTATGTTTGTTTGTTTTGGAAATTTTAGGATATCTAAGTAAATGTTTTTCCTCAAAATGGCGGCTTTTGTAACCATGATTTTTTGTTTTTTAACAAAGTGTGCAAATGTATTAACATATATCTCTACAAATAACCATTTTAAAATAATTCGTCTTACATTGTACATTTAAAAAAAAATGTTTGGGTGTAGTGGCCCCTTAATTAACATATACTTGTTTATTGCCTTGGCAACTGTTTTGAATTCACCTAAATCATATCTGTTGGCAGATTTCCTTTTTTCCCTCAATAATTTTTGTATAAAGTATTTCAGGGGAACTCCACACTCTGTTTCTACTAGGTGGTTTTTTTTTTTTTTTTTCCTGTGGTCCTAGGGATTTTTTGGGGTTGGTTTCAACTTGCAGTTTTCATTTAGCCTTAGGTCAAAGATAACATCAATGCTAGTGGATTATAGTCTTTTCTGTAAGTATATCCTACTATTTTCAGGCGCTCTGTTGCTTAGAAGATAAGCTGAATGAACTGAACTGAATTTCTACCCCACCAGGACATCACACAAGCGATAAACACCTGATGACACCATGTGCCACCATGTGGATGAGGATCGCCGTGGAGAGGTCCCAGAAACCGCGTTCAGACATTTGGCCATATATATGGCCTGCCTATATTGCGACCCCTGGCAAAAGCAAGAGTAGGGCTTCAAATGACAAAAAAATGTGTCCTAAAAAGGACGAAATTGGATATAGCAAAATAAGCTGAATATTGTGTACACTGTTTTGGAGGGCTGATGTTCGTGATCCAGTTTGCAGACCATTGTTCCAGTCTGTCAAGGCTTGACTGCATGCAGTCTTGTCAGGCAATTCAGAGAAACTGATTTGAAAAGGGAAACCTTGACACTAGGGGCCATACTTGCTAGAAATTGTTCATGTAGATCAAAAAAGATTACATAACAATTTCTGATGATTAGGTCAAGACAAATTAGAAATACAGATGACAGTTAGCTGCCATTATTTCTAGTGCGAGTTCCAGAGCTGACTGGGGGGCACGGTTGACTAATTAAGGGTCTACTGTAATCAGACGTGTTGCCATAAAGCAGAAATGTTACAGCCTAGTTTTAACCCCACCCCCCTTTCTCTCTTTTTTCATTGGAGTATGCAGAAGTTGGTGATTAGAGACAAACCAGTTTACCCCCATTTTGTTTGTGATTATAACAAGACAGATTACAACCTGGAAGTGATTAAGACAAAACAAGGCAGACTACAACGATCTGCTGGTTATTAAAACATAAGTTAGAAATTGTCTTTGGTGTGACTTACCAGTGGCTCCGATAAGAAGACCTGATCCCCTTGTGTTATAATACAAGACTCCATGCGAAGAGGAGGGCAGATCTCTTCATCTGGTTCATAGTATTTCTTTAACTGTGAAATTTAAGTCAGTGGAAAATATATCAAATAGTATGCATGCCTAACAGATCTTTTCTGACTATCATCTAACCTACCATTACCAAATTCTCTGCCACTATTTCTTCTTCTGCAGTACTCCTTAAAAATGTCCTGGGACTGCAGATAATGCCTGGCTGGCATAGCCGTTATGGGTGATCTAATTATAACTTCTTTGGAGGATGAACTGGGTATCAGGGATCTGCCTTGTTGGGCAGCCCTTTAGACTGAGATTTTGCATAATCTCAAGATGGTTTGGTGTCATCAATCAACCGCCACTACTCAAGAAAGAATACTAACTTTTTACAGCAGAACAACAGGGAGGAAGGTGATAGGAAGACCAAAAAAAGAAATAAATAAAAGATGTAGCTGAAACCTGTAAAAAAAAAAGTGAACAAATCTACCACCCAAGTCACCAAAGAAGCACAAGACAAATCCAGAAAACCACAACCATGGGCGAGAACCCAGTATCAGTGAGATGATAAAAGAAGAAGAATGGTACGATAAAACTTTAAGTAACAGTAGCTGACAAACTGATCAATCAATCACAGTCAGCATGCAGTTTTGTGGTTTACAGTCAGAATGGGATGTCTGCGCCTTTCAGTCCAATATATTCAATTTCAGCACACCCTTAATTAGTCCTTATTACAACATGATGGTTAAGATTCAGTGGGTATATTCATCTGCCCCCAAAATAGGGCTCTGAATCCCACATGGGAAGATCTGCCACCGCTGGTGTTTGGAGAATAGATGAATTTGCAGTGAGTGACTAAATCATCATCATCAGGTGCCCTGCCAACTGGCGTGGGCAATTATACCTTTCCACAATCTGCGATTTCCTGCAGCATGTATTAGTTCGTGTGCTGACACAACTCCATGCCTTGCAACAAGACTGACACGAATCTTCTCTCATTGTATCATTCTATCCCTTCTTCCACAGATCTTTCCAGTGGTCACAACATGCTCCATTTTCCCTCTTCTCATAACATGGCCGGAAAATGATGATTGTCTCCTGATGTCTGTGATTAGTTGCCTCGAAACATAACGAGGGACTAACAATAAATTCCATTTACTCTTCCTGATACATTCTTTTTCTTCTTCTTCTGCATTTGCAGATAACAAAGATATCACATACAGTTTTCTGGGGGTTTTTTTTCTTCTTATTAAATAAAATGCTTTTGCTTTCCTAAGATTAGACCATAGGTAAATTATTAAAGGCAAAAGAATTTAAACCTCATTTCAGGTAGAGAACATAAAGGACCCTTTTCCACGCCTTCCGGCTTATTGGGCATATAGTGTTGGACCTATATATTATAGATTGGCACTCTGTGGGTGATGTGGTCAACATCACGCAGGCTGCCTTTACTTCCCAGGATTTTACCTGATATCTATTTAAGGCTGCATGGACCTGGGACCTAAGGTCATTTTTAGACGTGATGACAAATATAAGACAAATAATGTAACTAATAAACAATAATGGATTTTAAACGCAAAATAAAGCAACTTAAATACAATATTAGAACATATTAAATCAAAATAATTTATCTGACAATAGTTTGCTAGAAATCAGATATATTTTCCTAAGTGTGTTCTACCTGTGACAAAAGCATGTCCAAAACTGGGTTCATCAGCTGTGAGTTTCTGTGCAAGACGTCATACAGCCCCTGATAACACAAGTCAAGTTGCTGTCATATTACTTATACATAATGCAAACTGGTTCTTTTCAGCTTTTTCACCTCAACTCGGGGGGCTGTGAGATTTGATAGGGAATTCCCAGGGAGCTCCCCGGAAGGTCCTATAGTATAAGGGGATTAGGGTTATTGTTAGTTGGTGATCACCTAACAGTAACCCTAAAAAACTAAAACTGTGATGTTCTAGGTGTGTCATGTGTTGGTTGTTTTCAGCTTGTTCATTGTTCATAATTTTGTGTGTTACTTTCCTTTGTTTATTGCCAAGACTGTGCCCTGTTTACAAGCGGTGTTATTACTTCATGACTTTGCAGTGAATTACCTTGAACTGTCAGTATTCCTACATCTAACCCTAACCTTAACCAACAAGAATGCATACCTAGAGACTGTCACTCCTTTTCAGGGCCGACACCCTAGGGTGGTTTTTTTTTCAGGGCCCACCCACAAAATATCCCAATTCCTATCCCACTCTCTAAGGTCTGCCCAAGAGAATGACCAGGTCACTAAATGAATTACAGAATACAGTGAAGTTCATACTAAAGACAACATTGTAGACATTGATAATCTGTTTCGGGCGAACAAAAGAAGATAATCTGTTTCGGGCAAACAAAAGAAGAAGAGGAAACTAACCCTAAACCCCCCCCCCCCCCCCATACTACAAGACCTTCTGAACTCCCTAGGAACTCCCTATCAAATCTCGCAGCCACCGAGATGGGGTAAAAAAAAAGCTGAAACGTACCTGCAAACTTATTAACTCATTCTATTTTAATCAGTTACATTATTGTCTGAATTATTACATGAGACTGTTTCATTGCAAAATCTGCAGAATACTATAGGTTTTAACTTTCAACTTCTCCCTGTGTGGGTTCTGGGGTCCCATTTGGGGGGGGGGGGATATAGACACACAGCCTCCCTAACCAGCAGGTCGTTAAAGGCGACTAATTCAGGATTTGTCCTCTAAAGTCAAAGTGCATCTGCCCGAGTGGCAAGATCACCGTCTACATACAAGTCAGACCTGAAAAATCAATGTGCACACAGAATGCAAGTTCTGTAACAAGCTGAGGTCCAGAAGTGGACAAACAACCAGAACCTGCCATCACAGTTGACAGGCAGTGAATGCTAAGAAGAAGAGATTTTAACTTGAATGTATTTTAGTGTTTTCTAGGCCTTGAAAAGTGCTAGCAGTTTACTAGAGTGAGGTTGCTATTGGGGGGTTTCCCTGTGGATTTAAACAATTACAGGATGTCACAAACCCAAGCATTTGATGGCTGTTCATGGTTTCACAAGGCAATATTACATTCAGTAGTTTGCCTTCCCATGTGGGTTTCAGGGCCCGACTGTAGGGTAAACAAGAATAAACCCAAAGCCTGCTCAAAAGCATGTCATAAGAGTCGACTAATTGGAAGTTTCCTTCAAAGTCAGAGCACATCTGCCTGAGAGGCGAGGAACCAACAGTCTGCATGCAAATAAGTCAGACCTGTGACACGAATGTGCACACAACACTCAGTTTCTGGAACAGGTGTAGAGTCCAGAAATGGACGAAGTTTACAGCCGGTAAACGTGAAGAAGAAGGAGAGTGGTTTACTATTGCTTTCTGAACAGCTGATGCTCCTCCATACCAGTTGAAATCACTGCAAAAAAGCTCGCTACCAAATCATTTATGGCAGAAACTGAACCAGGTATTTCTGAATTATAAACCATGTTGAGAAGCTTTAAGCCAAAGATACCAACTTCTTTGGCAAAGCAGAATCATTTCCAGGGGCCGTCAGGGCTTGTTGAGCTCATTTTTTCCCCTTTCAAAGATCAGAAATCAGTGGGCCATGGGAAGCTGCTACTGTAAATCCATATATAAGGTTAGTTGCGTATCCTTTACAGGACGTTGCAGAACCAACCCCAACAGCCCCTGGCTGTTGTGTGGTTTTTCTAGGCAAATTTACGTTCAGTAGTTCGCCATTGCTTTCTGGACAGTCGGCTTTCTTGATACCACTGTCAAAACCAACGCAAGGCGCATGGCCCGCAGCTGGGATCGAACCCGGCATTACGAAGCGTTCGCATCGATTTAGCCATAGAGCCGACAATCCATATATAAGAAGAGGTAAATCAGGATATAATCATCAATATGTTTCAGCGCAGCGCACATGGACAGACTGGGGAAAGACCTATTTTGGTAACATGTATTTTTTTAAATAAGTGTTGTTAACGTGTTTTTTTCTTCTGAAGACTTCCGTATGCTTGGCTGAATTTTGTGACCAAACTATATGAATAAAGATAAGGCCCTTAGCCCTGCATAAATTTTAGCATTCATTTTTAACACATTTCATAAAAGATGTACAATGGTTCTATTATCGGTTTCCTTTACAGGAACCTTGCAAACACAGCATGGGGACCAAATAGATTTTTTTTTAAATTCGTTCCAAAAAAAAAAACATCTTCATGATCAAGTGATGGACAAACACTAGTCTGAATGAGTGTACAACCAAGACAAGAGAGAGAGCAAGAGTTGGAGATCCACTGCAGCCAAACTTTATTGTATTGTGGAGATAGTACCTCACTGATTGACTGACTCAGTGATGGAAAAACTGCATAAAATCACAATGAGTATGTTTTGTTTAACAGTAATAAAATACCTGGTAAATGCTGAGCCTGATGTCTGCTTGTTGGGTGAAACACCTTCGCAGATTACCCAAGATTTCTAGGCATAAAGCTTCATTACTGGCTGCATTATAGCCGGTATGGACATCCACCTGAAGCTGAATAAACAGAAAGGAAAAATAATCATCTTTCACATGTGGTGACTCAATGATCTAACACCACTTGTACTAACAAGTTTTATGAGAACAAGAAAACTTCTCCTGTGCTCGTTGTTGAAAGGGTGGTTGGCATGTTGTGTTGTGGTTTACAGCTGGTATGTGATATCTTAATAATCTACTTTTAATGGCATATTCATTAACCCTCTTGCCGCGGAAACACTAAAAAGTGGGTTATGACCACGTTGGAATTCCAACAACAAATAAAATTCCTTTTAAGAAAAAATTGTTTACATAGGTCAGCAATAAAGTTATTAACTATTTACTTATCACCATTTTGTAATGCTTTTCTTCTAAATAGATAAATATATACGAAGGGAGTAAAAAAGGAGTAATCAATAACACAGATGGGTTGAAGCATTAAACAGAATACATTCTCTGGGACTAAAAAGCATGTATCAAGTGACTCAGGCAGTGAACCTTTAATCTTTATCACTGAAACTTAGCGGCAAATCTGACATCAGCTTGGTATTACAAAAGCTATTTGGCTCAAAGGAAAAAAAAACCTAAATGCTATTTTTAGTTAATGTATTCATATCCTGACCTGAATGTTTGCTCAGGGGTTAAAACAGCCAATAACATTAACTATATGTCTCATAAACAGGTCGCTAAAGACAAGTAATGACAGTGACATGTACAGGGAACTGGACCCACCTGGAGGTTTTGCAGCTTCTCTGAGCGTAAAGGTTAAGGAACAGTGAGTCTATTAAATTTACCAAAAATGGGGTCCTGGAACCCACACTCGGAATACTAATCAAACAACTCATGATTAACCTGTAAAACATGGCACAGCTCTACCAACAGTTACAACCATTTTGTTTATTTATGTAATCACCTGTTCACAATTGCCACTGTTTGGTCTCATTTTGTTTTTGTTTTTTGTTAACTGTTTTTCTTCTTCCATACTTCTTCTATTGCTCTGGGTGTTGAAGGAGATACAGAGTTCCAGTTCTCACACTTCTGGCTGCCACTACGAGAGGCAATATTTTTGTAGATTCTCAATGAGATAAGCTACCTGAATAAGATAATTTAAATACAGTTATGCACATACACACAAAAGGACCCTCTTATTAAAGTAATTTCTTCTTTAGGGTTTTATTCCAGCATGAATCAGGAACAGGACAGCTGAGCTATCCACTGGTTCCTCTAATATTTCATGATGGGTTGCTCTTGTTGGCAAGATTTCCATTCACTGTTACATTCTGGCCAGTCAAGTATGTACTCTGGAGTCTACAGATGCAAATGGCAAAGCTTCTGGCTTAGGTAGTCCTCAGCTGTACGTGGCAACACCTCTGAGAGCCACCCTGCAAAAGTGTGTTTCCTGTTCTGAGTATGAAGATGCTGGTTTCTGCCTAGCTTGATACTATCCTACTCTGGTCTATAATTGTCATTCTGTTTACTCCATAACAAAATTAATGCAACAATACCTGACTTAGAGCTATCGGCTGACTGACTTGACTTGAAGGCAATCCACCAACGACACGAAAACTTTTCAGCACCATGAGAAACCCAAGGGCCCCAATCCTTCTGGAGTCCAACTGTCTGTAATCAAAACGATCAACAACAAGATATTTCAAGCTGATTTATACAGTAGCTTGAGTTTGAATCATTCACAGATGACAATACCAGACAATGAGAACCCTAAACCTCATGGAGGACACATTTTTTTCTTAGCACTAACCAGCTGTACACTCCAGCAGAAGGTTCTGGTCATTAATCTACTTCTAGACTTTAGTTTTGTTCCAGAACCTGAGTTTTGTGTGCACATCCATTTTACAGATCTGACTTATTTGTATGCAGACAGCTGGTTACTTCCCTCTTGGGCAGATGAATTCTTACTTCAAAGGACACATCCCTAATTAGTCACTGTATGACATATTTAGGGAACAGTGGATCCGTTCCCCCCTCATTCCCCAAAACTCACCTGGGAAGGAGGAAACATTACCAGTCTGGGCACAATCACAGCTAGTCTGTATGTACTTTGCTGAATAATGACTTGGTTCACTATTCACACATGCCACATGTACCATCAGATATGTAACTGTGTGATGGTTGCTGAAGATAGGGGAAGAATGATAATGGTAATGACCCAAGTGTCGGTTCTTAATTCAGCCTGACCTGGTTACATGTCACCACTGATATGAAGTTGCTGGGTCTTGCTCACCCCACTTCCATGTGTGGTTTCTGCGATCCACTGCTCCTTAATAAGCATACTGTAAAAAGCAAGTAATTAAGAATTCACTCAAATCATTTTTATTGGGCCAAAAGGTGCAGAAATCACAACCTAGCTTCAAACCACTATAAATACAACATATCAATCAACCAACCTTTTAAGGATGAACACAGAATAAGAAGAATCTTACCCCCACTGTTTTCTTCTTCTTCTTCTTCTTCTTCTTCGCGTTCACCAGCTGTACACTCTGGTGTAAAGTTCTGGTTGTTCGTCTACTTCTGGACTGCAGTCCTGCTCCAGAACCTGAGTGTTGCGTGTGCATCAGTTTTACAGATCTGATTCAATTGAATGTAGACTGCTGGTTCCCTGCCTCTCAGGCAGATGCACTCCGACTTCAAAGGAAGCTCCCCAGTTAGTCGACTCTTACGACATGCTTTTGGGGAGGCAGTGGGTCTATTCTTGTTTTCCCCACAATAGGGCCCCGGAACCCACACGGGGGCCACTGTTTTCTGAACTTGAAGAAGGGAAAGAAAGCTCCACAACCTAATTCCTGTAGAGATGATGGAACTAGGCTGGGAGAAAAGCCTATAAAGCAACTGCAACTGATAGATCTAAGTCCATTTCAGAGCTCTGACCTGACAACCTGAACACCCATATATAGGATTTAAAGAGTAAACACTCCAGTTTCCAGACACACAAACAGAAAAACTCAAGATATTTTCTTTCTCTATATTTGTTCCTAAGAGGATGGCTAACTGTGTTGTGGTTTACAGCTAGGCTGAGATAACTGTGTCTTTTGACCCAACACATTCGGTTTAAGCAAACTACTTGCTTTTATGACATGCTAGTTATGGGGACGGTCTTTTCTCCCCTTCCTCAAATGGGACCACAAAACCCACACCGGGAAACTCAAGACATAAGTGTTTCAAAGTGGAAGTAACTCTAATATCTAGTCTGACCCCCATGTCCACAAACACTCGAAGTGGCAAGCCCCCTATGACTAGTACATGAAAAGTGCCATTACTTGATACTATGAACTGGTGGTGTATGTGAAGTAATCATAGAAAAATATGAAATAGTATATGTAAAGCCCTATCAGTTACATCATGACCTAATACATGTGAGTTTATAAAACTTTTATTGTCACAAATTAGTTAAGATATATATATATATATATATATATATATATATATATATATATATATATATATATATATATATATATATATATATATATATATATATATATATATATATATATATATATATATATAACTTACATATTACTGAATAAAGTCCTGAAGGCAGAAAATAGGGACATTTTAGCTGAAATGTTATAGAAACATTCTCAGAATATCATAGACAAAGAAGAAAAGAAACACTGTCATCCAAAAAGATCTGAACTTCAAGGAAGATTGACTAATCTTGTATAAGTAAAAAGTAAAGGACCCCTTTCCACACCTTTAGGCATATAGGGCTAGACCTATATTTTTATAGACCAATCGGCACAAGATGGGTGATGTGGTCAGTATCACGCTGGGTGCCTTCACTTTCCCGGGACTGCACCCGGTACCCACTCAAGGCTGGGTCGACCTGGGATCCAAGGTCATTTTTGAAAAAAGTCCGGCTCCCCCAGGGAGCGAACCCACGACCTTCCGATCAACGGTGAGCGTCTAGCCGCTCGGCCACGGCGATTCTAAAGGTTAGTTGCGTATGCTTTACAGGATGTTGTAGACCCCAGCAGCCCCTGGCTGTTGTGTGGTTTCTCTAGGCAAATTTACGTCCAGTAGTTTGCCATTGCTTCTGGACGGTCGGCTCCCTGATACCACTGTCGAAACCAACGCAAGTAATCTTGTTTAGGAAGCTGAAATATTTTGGCCATATCAAGCGCTACAGTGAACTGGAACAAATAACAGCAGAAGGTATGCTGCCTGTTAGGAGGGGTATAGGCAGACCAGCACCCAGAGAAGCACAGGATATGTGACTCCTTGGGTATGAAAGTGCATGAGGCGAGACAGCTGGCAGGAGACAAGAGTTTCTTTCAGGTGGACCATGATGAGACCAGCGTTCTGTCAAGGATCTGCCACATGAGAATTACTAAATAATTAAATTAGCTCGATCTTAAAGTAGATCCATGACTGCTACTGATGTTATGGTGTGAACTGTTAAGCCTTCACCTATTCTCACAATATTATGAGGTCATTTGACCTGGTTTCTTCCTCAACACCTTTGGTCACCAGACAATTACAAAAACCCTTTCTGGTACACATATTTTATGAGGCTCAATTAACTTCAGAACCTCAGTGTTTGGGGGGAGGGTGGGGAACATGATTCTTGTAATGGGGGATATTTTCAACCTGATTGGGAAGGTTTAGGGGGGTGGGGGCCCCAAAGCTAACAATAATACCGAGAGAAGCCAGATAATCGTATTAACCAAGGTTTTCAAGAAAGGGGACGACCTTGAAGAATGACCACAGGTCGCCACGTGGAACTCAAAAACAACCACGTGTTGCCACGTGGAACGAACGCTGGGTATAAGATCAGATCCGTCTATGCGGCGATGTGGAACTGAAGGCGCCAAACTTTGGTCAATGAATGACTGAGAAGTCAGCGTGTTGGCGTCTAAACAATGTGGTGCATGTAAGCTGTGAATTATGACACGAACGGGACTTTCGTTGTAAGTGATGAGATGTAAAAAAAATTGTTTGTACTTTGAAGTCGGTGTCGGCTTGTTCCAGTTATGTCATCTTAAGAATGTGTGCTAAGAGCATTCACTAGACACATTATCTCCTCGACAACCAGCCCAAGGTCATCAACTACTTACTGCAAGTAGAAGATGGCTTATTGCACTTCTATATCTGTAGGGTTTGAAACTAGATCATTGACAGGTCAGGCAAATAAACTAGCCACTAAGCCAATGCAGTTACATTCACCTGTTCCATTACATCATTCTTCCTCACCTGGAAAACATGGCTTTCCTCAGAACTAAAATCAGAGTATCCTTCAGGCGAGGGCTCAACTTCAGAAGAGGTTGTATGACAGTAAGCAAACTTTCAGCAGACTTTGGAGGCAGTTGAGCCAACTTGACAAAGATCTCCTGGATCTTGCCACTGGATTCCAACAGCAGTTGGGGCGCAGAGAACACTGTGTCTGACAGCAGATCTAGTGTGTTTGAAATGAATAAATTCAGTGTGAATAATGGAAGGACACAAATGTTTAAAACAGGGTTATTCGACTGGCAGCCGGCGGGTAGAATCAGGCCCACAGAGGCCTAGCAAGTGGCCCGCGGATCAATGCCAATTGTATTGTATTATTGATCCTTCTACACTGAGGCTTTGGTCTCTGGCCCGTGATGATCCCCATTCTGGCCCCTGATCAAACTTATTTTAATAGCCCTGGCCGTTGGCATTGTATTTCTCCCCTAGCCTACAGCATTGTATTTCTCCATCTATTTATGAAAACAAACAAGGTATTTAGAACTGCAGGTGCTACAGGACCACTCACAAAATCATAAGCAAAGGACAAATTAAATGTCATCATCTGAAGAGGTCATCATCATCATCATGTGCTCTGCTGACTAGTGCAGGCGTTCATGCATCTCCACAGATATCAGTCCCTTGTCCTCTGGATCAGGTCAACCAATGATATTTCCCCGCACTACCCTAGCAATCCATCCATTATCATCCCCCTCAGACTGCTTCTCCCTCATTTTGATCCTTATATACAAATTTGCAGGACATCAAGAGCGTCCATTGGCAGTGGTGAAACGTCGCAAGCTAGCTTGGTTTGGGCACATGGTGAGACATGATTCGATTGCAAAGACTGTACTTCAAGGAACATTGGGTGGGCGGAAGGGGGGGGGGGGGTGTGTGTGTTTGTGTGTGTGTTAGTCAAAGAAGAGCAGGACAAAGAAGAATCTGGAATTTCAACATCAAGAAATGGACAGGACTAAGTTATCATACACTTATTCATCAAGCAGAAGACAGAGAAAGATGGCAGGTTTTATGTGCTAGAGCTTCCACCAATACACCTCAAGCAATCCTTGTTAGTTACTCTGGCAGTCCAAAGGATTTTAACATTCATCTGAGGAACCACATCTCCGTCACAACCCCATTTTGAATGGGAAAAAGAATAGGCTCACTGCCCCAACAAGCAGGCATAAAAAGTGTAAAATTAAGGTTCTGCTGAAACAATATTGCAGCCTAGCTGTAAACCACAACACAACATGCCAATTGTCCTTCTACGTGTGAATGCTGAAAGAGAATAATTAAAAAGAGCCATTATTCACTGAGTGAAAATCTGTGTGACCAGTTCTTCTGTGCCACGATAAATGTTGCACAATAAGATATGAAGTAATGAGAAAAGTGGAGACACTGGAGAATGTTTCAAATACCATGGATAGAAAGGAACATTTTTCACTGGCTCTAAACTGGCAGAAAGTTCTGGTTGTTCATCCTCTAATAAACTTGAGTCGTGTTCCAAAATGTGAGTACTACACAACATCTATTTTGCAGACCTGGCTCATTTGTACGCAGACTGTTGGTTCCTCACCTTTCAAGCACTGTTGTTCATCTATTATAAGTGATGAAGACCACTTTCATCCAAAGTAGTAATGATCAATAATTATGAGTACGAAGGTGGCTGATTAGTCCAATATGAGCCTGAAAAGTTCTTGAGCAGTGACAACAGACGGAAGCTGCAGTAAGTGTGGGATTAGCAGTAGATTCTTTCTTGTCTGCCTCCGTTTCTCTACCTCTGCAACCTCCGCTGCCTGGCAGGCGAATGCACCATGCAGTCTAACTACAAAAGAAATATCCAAATTCGCTACATTGGCCAGCGCCTGGTTGGGAACTTATTTCTAGGATGACCATAGAGAGGTGTGAATACGCCTTGACCAGTCTGTGCCTTTGTCCTAGTGCACCACCATGTATGATTCAGCAGCTCTTCGTCCCAGAATGGAAACAAACACCGAAAAAAATGTTCATCACACACCAAAACTATAGAGGTCCGCTGTGGTGTAGTGGCTAGAGTTCACCTGTGGATGTAGGATCATGGGTTAAAATCCAAGCAGACTTACTTCTGTTAAAAAAAAAATTTACCTTGGCTTCCTAGATCAACCCAGCCTTAAATGGGTTCCAGGCAAAGTCCTGGGAAGTTAGGGTGGCCGGAATGTTGCTAACCACATCACCTAACAAGTACTGTTTGGTCTATAAAACACAAGTCTAGCCTTATATGCTCAATATGCCTAAATGCGTCAAAATAGGTCCTTTATGTTACTTTTACATCAAAACTATAAAGCCAAGGTTGACGGCTTTATCCCTCACAGCGTAGATGAAGATATGGATTCTGAACTTGTTACAAAACGACAGATTACAACAGTACATATGCAATGACAACATTCTGTGTGAAGAAAACAACTCATGGAGGTCATTTAAAAATAAAAAACATAGGCAATCCTGTTTTATGTAAGCAAAAGGATCATATTGTTTATCTTAGACTTCTGTAGTAAAATGAACAGTGTACATTTTTAAAACTGTGCTGCAAATATCTGGAGCTGATGGACTATTTCTGAACAAAAGACTGGAAGACTTACCAAGATAATGTCCCACAGGAAGTGTTGACTTCATGACAATGTTATTGAAAATCTGCTCCAGTATTATGTTTCTTACAGGTTCATGGGCCTAACAGACACAGGAAATGTGACACAAATTTAATAAAATAAAGGTGCACAAACAATATTAATTTAACACTATCATCTACAAAAAAAAAAGTGTGGGTGGGGTAGGGAAGAGGTTACAAGAATAAACTGAAAGCTAAATGAATTAACTGTATTATCAAAATATGTAAAGAATCTGATGTCAAATACTTGATAGTGACTAACAAATACAAGGTTGCTTTTAAAGAAAAATTCACATTTAGATGAAGAAGATGACAATAATGCATAAGAAATTATCTAAAGTCTAAAGGATTATGTCAACACATCTGGAATTAGTTGAATTAAGAATCAACATCACATGATTCAGGAAATTCACACAAGCGCTTTGTCCCCATCTTTAGTAGCCAGTGCAGAGTTCCAATTCTGAGGTACCGGCAGCAAGTCACTTGGAATAAATCGCAATGTTATATTTAAACTTGCTGCACTTGTTCGTTATATACCTTCACAAGAAAGGAAAAAAAAAAAAAGAGTAACACTTATATATAATACATACTGAAAGAAGCGATCATGAAGAAAACAGAGGTAGGGGTTTGGTATGACAGTGGTTATCTCATTTCATAAAACAGTTAGTCTGAACTCATTAAGAAGTTTTACAGAGGTTGGTGGAGTTGGTTGCACGCTTGTGCTTCAATGGTAGATGAAAAGCAGCAAACAAAGACAGCCCACTAACTGGTGCACTGGTTTCCTGGACAATGCCTCCAGATCTTTCATCTCAGAATATGCAACAATATCACTCCAGTACTTACTGATGCATTAATCAATCCTGTTGTATTTTCCCCAAAGATTTTTGGTACTTTCCCCCTCTTTCATCCTAAGTTTACTTTTCCAATAATCTTGCTGGGTGTTAAAATGTCCCTTTGTTTATGATTTCAACGAACTATAAGCTTTCCTAACCTTTCTTATCAATAAAATTTTTAAAATCCTTTTCTTTTCAAGATGTTCTTAAATTAAACTTTCTGTTATTTTTAGCAGCTTTTACTATTTTTGCAAATATGCACACACATTAACAGAAGCTGAAGAAGGTGAGGGGAAGATTAAGAAAGCAATGGATGAATGATGTAGCTAAAACCTGCAATGATTTGGACAAATCCATCACCCACGCAATCCGAGAAGTACAGGACAAATTTAGACAAACACGACACTGGGCTACAACCTGGTATCTGTGAGACGACAAAAGAATAATAAGAAAAAAAAACCATGATCCAGACAGGTGCACATTTTTCACCTGCTGTCACCGATATGCTAGTTTCGATTTTTAAATAAGAAAGTTAGATGGTATTGCTGGAAAATATTCTCCACCTTAGTTATTATAGGAATGTTGGGTGATATGCTCATTTTTTCCCCTTCTTTTTCATGTTCACTAGCTGCAAACTCCAGTGGAAAGTTCTGGTTGTTCGTACACCTCTGGACTTTAGTCTTGTTCCAGGGCCTGAATGTTGTGTGAACATCAGTTTTACAGATCTGACTTATTTGTATGCAGATTGTATTGCAGATTGTATCACAAACATCCTCTCAGGCAGATGCACTCCGACTTCAAAGGAAGCCCCCCAATCTTATGAAATGCTTGTTGAGCAGGCAGTGGGTCTATTCTTGTTTTCCTCAGAACCGACACCGGGAAGAAAAGTTTTGATGTTTGTGATATTTCGCTAATATCTGACTTGAGCAGGACAATTCTTGGGGACTGTGCAGGCTTGATAAATTTAGGAGAGGAGTGGGTCAAAGTGTCCGATCATGTTTCAGACTTGTGTAGGGTTCTAATCACTTTAGGACGTGAGTGCAGAGACTGGCCGGCTGGTGCTGCAGAATCAGAAGTTCAACAAATGATTCATGACAATTCCTGCCCAAGTGATGTGATTGTATATACAGATGGCTTTGTGGTGAGGGGCAGACGAAGTGAATGGGAGCTCACAGTGAAGGCAAATGGACGTCAACATTCAATTCTTGGGACTGCATTTTCCTTCCCTCTCGACCCCCTACTGTTTGTCAGACTACTGGCTAAGCCTGTTTCCAGGTCCACCATCCTAAGGTAAAGATAGTTTTAATTAGCTCTGATGTTGAATGTTGAATTAAGAACCAAAATCACAGCACTCAGGACACTTCCATTAAGTGCTCAGTCCCCATCTTTAGCAGCAAGCGGAAAGTTCTAATTCCGATGGTACCAGTAACCGTCTGATTGCATATCCATCTCATCCTTCCCCTGAGCGTTGAGCATCGCCCATATCTCCTGGTAACTCCTCGCAGCGCCATTCTCCTTAGACCGTAATGATTCTGATTTATTGACAGTCAAGCAGTGAGTGACTAACTGCATTCATTAATGCATTTTTGGTTCTGTCTTTATAATTAAAACACTGTGTACATCTTTTTACCTACTACACAGGTTAGTTTTATCAACTCATGAGCAGATGTACAAAATAACAAAATAAATATTGATAACAGCCATTCAGACCACATTTATAGATTCAATTACATGTAGTTTATTATTCAATGCGTATGTCTAAGAATTTTTTAAAAAAAAACTTACTTTAAATGTTTTCAGAAGTATTCTTCGTCCTAATTGGCACGCTGACTGCGCTGGAGTCAGATGACCACTGGCTGGTGTGGTTTCGGGCAATGCTCCAAAAACAAGTTTGGGTCCAAAACTATCCATGAGTCCAAAGCCGAGCTTGACCAGGCCTTGCACAACATGATCCCAGTCAAAGGTGCTGATAAATAAGAAAAGTCCATATCAAAGTCATATTGTGACATATATGACTGTAGAACATTCTGGTTTAAAATACATTACTGTGCAGGAATAATTATGGAAAGTAGTAAGTAAAGAAAAGTAAAGGATGTTTCCATCCCTTCAGGCGTATCAAGCATATAGAACTAGACCTATATCTTAAACACCAAATCAGCACTCAGTGGGTGATGGGGTCAACATCACGCTAGTCGCCTTTACTTCCCACTTTACGTTTAACTCTTTGAGTCCCAGGGGGTTTAGCATCACAGGTCCAGGAGGTAGTAGAGAAAGTAATAAAATCGGCGCATCATGCGTTAATTGGGCTTTTAGGTAGGAACCAATGAACATATGATACCTTCTTTGGGACTCAAAGAGTTAAGGCTAGGTCGACCTGGGAGCCAGGGTAAAAAAAAATTTAAAAAAATTTTTTTTTTTAAAGTCTGGCTGTGTCAGGAGCTGAACCCATGACTTTGGGATCTCCAGGTGAGCGCTTCCTGTTACCCATTTAAGGCTGGGTCGACCAGGCAGCCAAAACATTCCAGACTTATATATAATTTTTTTTAAATATAAAAAATGTGTGCCATTTCAACAGTGAAGGTTGGCTAATGTACTCACTGCTGTATTTGAGAATATTATGTGGGAAGGCCCAGTCTCTTTAACTGTGCAACACTCATACCATCATCCGAAAACCAAACGGGCAGAGTTTTTAAAAAAAAAAAACGTTTACCGCAGACAGTTGGCTTATAGCGCTGGGGGATCATGGAATTAAACAACACTAACAGACTACTAACAAACCTCCCCCCCAAATTACTGTACAGAGAACATTAGAGATAGATTACTTATGCATGTGTCTTATGTGGGATAAAGACACTCTGAGCTGAACTTCCCTATATGGGCTCCTCCCTACTGTTGGGAAAACAAGAATAGACCCACTGCCTCCCTAACAAACATGTCATAAGACTTGATTAATTGGCGGCTTCCTTCGAAGTCGTAGTGCATCTGCTTGAGATGGCAAGTAACCAATAATTCTGGGCTTAGTCCAGAGGTGGATGAACAACTAGAACTTTTTCGCCAGAGTTTAGAGTTTACAGCCATTGAACCTGAAGAAGACAAACTGAACTGAGTTATTTTTTGGTTAAAAAAAACTGAACATGTACCTATGTTCAACTGCCTCTAGCACCAAATTTTCTGTTTTGACACCGCACGGGTAACATTCTCTGACCCACAAAGATTGCTTCTGTCTTTCTTCATCCTTAAAGCTCTTCACAACTGAACTCTTCAGAAACTCCAAGATCTGTGAGCAATGAGAAGAAAGCAATTTAAATATTTAAAATCTTGATCAATATGTATAACTGTTAGGAGGAGGCAGAACTACAAATATCAATCCTCATCACCATGTCTTGTTTCTGAGTTAATACTCAAAAGTATGTTGACACACTGTGACAGTTTATAGCTAAGTTGTGATATCTGTGCCTTTTGGCCCAACACATCCATTTTCAACAAACCCCTTTTATTATGACATTTGGTTCTTTATTAATATCTTACCCCAGATGACGTCACAGGACAGTCCAACATTTTTAAAGGGTGGTAAGAGTGGGTTTCCCGGCTTTCTGATGCTTTTAACGACCCCAAAACATCTAAAACTGGCCCTAACCCCAACCCACCTATGTCCCACGAGAGAGTGCAGCCTAGGTCTCTGCCGAAAATAAGGATGGAGCTATTTATTATGGCAATGTCCTAAGTGCTAGGATGTTGGTGTGTAACTCAGCTCAACTCAGTCGTCATGTGCCAAACTGATCGGCACAGGTGGGCATGGTTCACACAACCCCAGAATCATGGACCAGGTTCGTGTTTTTTTTCCTTTCTACTTCTGTGTTACTTCTTTTAGCCCAAAATGTCAGATTTCTTTTTCTGCTTCTTCACTTTCACCAGCTGTAAACTTCAGCAGAACGTTATGGTTGCGTGTCCACTTTTGGACTGGGTTTGTTCCAGAACCTCAGTTTTGCATGCTAATCTGTTTTACTGATCCACAAGCAGACTGTTGGTTCCTTGCTTCTCAAGCCACATGCACTCTGACTTAAAACAAAAACAACTCCTACTTAGTCACCTTTTACAACATACATACTCCAGTCCACATACTTGTTAGGGTAGCATTGGGTCTTATCTTTACTCCTCACAAAATGGGGCCTCGGAACCCTTACATGGAGCCAAAGATGTCCTATTTTAGCAAATTACTAATTAGTGGGCTTATATGGCATGCTTTTTGGGGGATGTGGGTCTACTAGGACCCTAGAACCTGTATAGAGACATGAAATTTAAACACACAAATATCCATTCTATGCATGTGGTAAGTTTACACAATAAATAAAACTAAATTAAAAAGTGCTACCTGCTCTTCAAAATGGTGCAACTGTGAAACAGACAGCAGAAGTGACAAGTTGAAAGGTGATACCACCTTGGAAGAACTTGCTTGCTGTTGTATCTGCAATATTTAAAATAATTTGTGGGGTAAAACATTGTTTTTATAACCTTCCATTACTAATCTGAATCAAGGTTATAGCACTTGGTTCACACCAATAAGTGCTGTTTCTCTAAGCATTTAATGGAGCAAAGGAAAGTGGTTCTCTTAGAACAGTGATTCTGAATATGCCCATGTCATCTACACCTGCAATCTATTACTATCCAAAATGACGCATTGTCTTTTCTTCTGCGTTCATCATAAAATGACCGGTCAGGAGGGGGAGGTTGGGGGGGGGGGGGGGGGGAATTGGCTGCCTCCTTCAGAAGTATTGTTAATTAAAGGCCTTGTAAAACCTGCTTTTTCTGAAATCCATGTGCCTAAAAGTGCCCCCATCCCCCCCACAGCTGTTAACTACAACATGTCAACCACGGGGTTCTTCTTCTTCTTCTGCGTTCGAATGATCAGTCATGCTACACATTGAGTCCCGTCTGGGTCAAAAATAGGATTGTGCGTTTAAGTGTCGCCACCGGTCCCCATAGTGTCCATTCTCGCAATTTGGATCCCCTGGGCCAGATCCACAGTCTTTGCTGGGAGGGGTAAGGGCAGTACTGCAGTAGGGGGGTCTGTCTTTCTGCTCCACAATCACAGGCAGCAGATTCTTTTATGCCTATCCTAAAACAGGTGTGCTCAAAGACCACAGTGTCCAGTCCTAAGTCTAAAAATTGATGTTTGTTCTTTCCTGTTGAGTTTGTTTATGCTGTCACTCTCTGGTGTCAACACATGGAAAAGAAGCATCTCTAAGACAGATAATTTTGAAGCCAGAACAGTGGCTTTATTACTGATATATAAACATGCTGTCCCTTCTGTTCTATGAAATAACAGCATAAACTAAAGGATCAACTTCCATACCTTTAAATGTACTAGGCATACATTTATAGACCAATAAAGAAGAGAGAGGCACAGATACAGATTGGAATATCATATCTTCTTCTTCTTTAGTCCTGCTCTGCCTTTCAGTGTCAGGTTTTGAAGAGACACCATGTGCCAGTCTTGGTATGTGCTATATAGATTCTAGTATTTACAGCCTCTTAAAACTTTCATACGTGTACGTGTGTATATACATTATACATATAGATATACAAATACATGCACTCAAATACATGGGGAAATACACAATAACATACGCATACATAGATATACAGACATATACAAACACAGACAAATACTCGCACACATATAAGAGATGGTCAAATGGCAGCCTAAACATACCACAAGAGCAAGAGAGTTTTACAGCCAAATTACATTACAGAGATAGTACCTGATTGTTTATTTACAATTTATAGAAGCCAAAATGCACTTTACATGTATACAAATATTACACATTATAATACAGGCAATATTCACTAAGCAAAGTTGCTGCATCACCTTTGCTCATCAGATAAGCGGGGTTTGCTTGTATTATCTTTCTTTAAAAATAGTGTGTGTACAGAAACAAACATAACCTTGAGATATTTAATGAGCTCCTTCCCCAGTTCCTGGTCTTGTTTCACTGCTTGTGTAATGTGTAAGATGACTGTGCCTTCAATTTGCCGCAGTGTTGTCAGACATGTGGCATCTGACATCAGATCAGCGCTAAAACAGTAACACATTAATCGGTTAGTACAAATGAATAATTATGCTAAGTGTACAACATGAAGGCAAGGAGAATTTGTATTCTTCTTCTTCTTCCACAGTTAACATTTACTATGCGTCTATTCAAACTAACGACAGTAATAGGGCAGTCAGAACATGGTCTTCACTGGTGTCCAATAGTCTGTCTTGTAGAGTGGCTTCTGTGAGTCCGATTACTTATCCCAGACCTGCAAAATCTGGGCAATCATGTAAGACATGCTCCAGAGGTTGCTTTGGTTGAACCACAGGGCAGTCAGCAAGACTTATCTGAACTGAAAACTGTTGAACTGATAAATCAGTATTGTTTCTCTTTATATTTTTAATTACAGCTTATTCACATTCAATAAAGGTAAAGGTAAAGTCGGGAGATGTGAACCAGCGTCACTGCACACGGTTATAAACCATAGGTGCTCTGCCACCAGTACGGACAGCTGATAAGAAACTGTCCGCCTGTGTCGCCGTCCGCACGCAACTCCATAGCTACAGCGACGTTCCTCCATTTACCCCAGAGTTAACTCTGGTACCCATTTCCTAGAGGCTAGGTGAACCTCAGGAACTGCCCGGTTTCAAACACTGGCCGTAGGCTGCAGCCAGTCGCAGCTGGATTTGAAAGCGAGTCTCCTACTGACTGTGCTAACACGGCCTCTCACATTCAATAGATTAGGATTAATCCAAGCCCTTCTTGTGCAGTCTTGGTGAGTCTTCAGCAGGCTTCATCACAGTGGAATCCTCTTTACAATCATCTTTGTTAGATATTCTCCCTTGGTGGATTCCAGGGCCTCATTGTAAGGAGAACAAGAGTTAACACAAGGTCCCAGCCCTGGTCGAGACTGGGATTTTTTCACGTGCCATTCTAGTAATTTCCCCTGGTCTCTGAGTAGTTAGATCGGACGCCCTTGTGTATTATGGTGCTTAGAAAAATCCCTTAGCAGTAGGAAACTGACAAAAGTAGCCTAATGGCGCTGCCTAGGCACAATTTGTAGTTTAAGATCTACCTAAAGTATTTTAGCAGCCTCCCCGGTGTAACGGACTTATGCACTGTGCTGAGATTCTTCAGACTCAGGCTTGAGTTAGCAGTAGAACGGAGCACTTATGGGTTACACCGATGTGCCATGATGCTGATCCGTCGAATAAACAATAAATATGAATTTGTATTACTGATGGCGACTGCCATTTTTTCATAAGGATGAGGTAAAAGGTCACTTGACTATATAGCTGCCATGCAGTGTGTTGCCAGGGCTGAACAACCTGAGATAACAGACATACCTGTCTATCATAACAGCATTTCCTCTGTTTGCATCATCTTTAGCTGTATAAAATTTGCAGATGCTCTCAAGGACCAATCGTTTGTGACCCTGACAATGGATAAACTCAAAATATTCAATATACTGTAAGACTTTCTTTTTGATGCCTCATGTTAGGAAAGCTTTATTTCAATATTCTTGTCAGCCTTTTGTCATGGCTTGGAGGTGTGTGAATACATAAACTGATACAAGCAGTTGCAGATTGTGGAGAGGCATGACCGTCGAAGCAAGTCGGCAAGGCACCCAATGATGATGATGATTTCAATACTCACACCTTTAAAAATAAACATGCAGTTTACGGTTTTATTCATCTGTGAGTTTTGCATGTACCTCTGTTTTACAGATCTGGCCTTTTTGTGTGCAGACTGTTGGTTTCTTGCCTCTCAAGCAGAGGCAAACTGACTTTGAAGGAGACACCCTTAAGTAGTCAACTTTTACATTATGCTTGTTAGTGGGGCAAATAGGTATATTTTCTCACAAGAGAAAATCCTACACTGATTTTGTCAGCTCTGTTGTATAGATACTCTGAAAGCATGCCGAGAAAGGTGAAGACAGGGATGCTTCGAGCAGAGTGGCAAGCTTCACTGGAAAAGTCACGGGTAGTGAGCATTCTTTAGATCTTTTCTTTAGGCCATGACGGCATGAATAGGCGGACAGATTGGCTGGATCTGCACCACTCGGTGGTGAATTGATACATGATGAAGCGGATATGGTCAAGGCCCTTTGGGAAAAAGCAACGAAATCAGTAGAGAAAGAAGATTATTATTATGGCCTGGAGAGAATGAGGCACCTAGGTGTAACCAGAGGGTCTGGCCGGCTCACTACAGTCAGAGAAAAGGCAAGACGGACATGTAACCAGATTGTGACCAGTACCATCGGTATTGGAACTCTGTGCTGGCTGCTGAAGATGAAGACGGAGCATGCATGAAAATGCCCCGAGTGCTGTGATGTCAATTCTTGACCCAACTCAACTCAACTGTTGTACTGATCACCTGATTTCTAGGTGTGTATATGCTGCCACTGGTACACAACTGCTGAACATGCCAATAAGTATGGTCTCATTTCTTGAATTAACAGTGAACAACCAAAGATTTCAACTTCAGTAGTTTATTTCACAAGGTAGTAGAAATAAAACATGTCAGTAAACAGAGAAAATTACCAAGAAAATAAACGACCTTTTCCCACACCTCAAGTTTATTGGGCATAAAGTAAACGACTTTTTCCAACGCCTCAAGTTTATTGGGCATAAAGTAAACAACCTTTTCCCACGAGTTAAGTTTATTGGGCATAAAGTAAACGACCTTTTCCCACGAGTCAAGTTTATTGGGCATAAAGTAAACGACCTTTTAACACGAGTCAAGTTTATTGGGCATAAAGTAAACGACCTTTCCCACGCCTTAAGTTTATTGGGCATAAAGTAAACGACTTTTTCCCACACCTTAAGTTTATTGGGCATAAAGTAAACGATCTTTCCCCACGCCTCAAGTTTATTGGGCATAAAGTAAACGACCTTTCCCCACGCCTCAAGTTTATTGGGCATAAAGTAAACGACCTTTCCCCACGCCTCAAGTTTATTGGGCATAAAGTAAACGACCTTTCCCCACGCCTCAAGTTTATTGGGCATAAAGTAAACGACCTTTCCCCACGCCTCAAGTTTATTGGGCATAATGTAAATGACCTTTCCCCACACCTCAAGTTTATTGGGCATAAAGTAAACGATCTTTCCCCACGCCTCAAGTTTATTGGGCATAAAGTAAACGATCTTTCCCCACGCCTCAAGTTTATTGGGCATAAAGTAAACGATCTTTCCCCACGCCTCAAGTTTATTGGGCATAAAGTAAACGACCTTTCCCCACACCTCAAGTTTATTGGGCATAAAGTAAACGACCTTTCCCCACACCTCAAGTTTATTGGGCATAATGTAAAGGACCTTTCCCCACGCCTCAAGTTTATTGGGCATAAAGTAAAGGACCCTTTTTTGAACCTTCAGGAGCACTGGACATATAGTGCTAGACCTATATTTTATAGACTAATCTGCACTTTGAGGGCATTGTGGTCAACATCATGCCAGTCGACTTTACTTCCCAGGACTTCACCTAGAACTCATTTAAAGCTGGGTCGACCTGGGAGTCAGACTTCACCTAGAACTCATTTAAAGCTGGGTCGACCTGGGAGTCAGACTTCACCTAGAACTCATTTAAAGCTGGGTCGACCTGGGAGTCAGACTTCACCTAGAACTCATTTAAAGCTGGGTCGACCTGGGAGTCAATGTAAATTTTTTTTAAAGTCTAGCTCTGTTCAAATTTGAACCCATGACCTCCAGATTCACATGTGAGCATCTAGCTGCTAGACCCCAGTTGCTCCCGTTAAAAAATTAGCATGAGATAATAATTTTCTGTTGATTGTAAAATAATTTCCACTGTGAGCAGGTGAGACATTAATTTAGGTGAGACAATAATACACAATTACACAGTGTTTTACATAACTGCATTTGTTCTAAACCCGTCATACTCATACCAGCTGTGAACTACATGGCGTTTAGGATACAAGTCCTCTGAACAATACTCCACTATTAGTGAATAATCTACTGTTGATGTAGTAAGTTCACTGCTCTTCTATTCCGGCAGTTTCTGCAGCAGGCTTTGTTCCAAATGTATCGCATTACCTTTCCTGTGGAACACAGCTGGCCAAGCAAGGGATAATCCTTCATGAAGCAACACATGATCTTTACAATACTGCCCAGGCTTTATGCTATGGAAGGGGGAACATATCCCATGCCTTAACTGGTATCACCATAGGCTGTGGGGCTGCGTTAGCGCAGTCGATAGGGGGCTCTCTTTCAAATCCAGTTGCGACTCGCTGCAGCCCACGGCCAGTGTTCAAAACCGGGCAGTTCCCCGGGGTTCACCCAGCCTCTAGAATATGGGTACCAGAGTTTAACACCCTGGGGTAAATGGAGAGGAACGTCGCTGTAGCTACAGAGTTGCGTGTGGACGGTGACACAGGCGGACAATTTCTTATCAGCTGTCTGTACTGGTGGCAGAGCACTTATGGTTTATAACCATGTGCAATGACGTTAGTTCACATCTCCCAACTTTACCTTTCACTATGGGTTATGATTACCAACCCTCCCTATAGCATTATGGAACAGTACTGTCTGAAATGTCAGAAAAGTGCCAAAACATGCAGTAAAGAATTATTGAAACAATTTTACATAATTTATTTCTTCTTCTTTACGTTATTTTAATTTTACCGGCTGTTAACTCCAGCAGTTGTTTGTCCACTTCTGGATTTTATTCTTGTTTCAGAAACTAAGTGTTGTGTATACATCACTTTTACAGAACTAGCTTATCTGTGGGCAGGCTGTTGGTTCCTTGCCTCTCTGGCAGATGCACTCAGACTTCAAAGGAAGCCCCCAGTTAATTTACTCTAATGACATACTTATTGGGGAACCAGTGGGTTTGTTCTTGTTTTCCCCACAATAGGGCCCCGGAACCCATAGGGAAACATTAACAATTTAAAAACAATGAACACTCGCCTTGGCTGAGAGACGTAAAAGCTGAAACACCAGTGCAGGCTGATCCGGGAGGTCAATTTCCGAAAACATGCGGACAATTTTCTCTATGACAAATCTCAGCTCCTCTAGGGATATGTCAATTTCTTGAAATACAGGTGCCATCTGAATAGTTACAGCAGATGTCCACCTGCAGTACACACACACAAAAATGCACACAAAAAAATTGTTAAGAACATAATATTTATCAATTAAAAATACCCCTTGGGGGTTTCAGGGCCCCATTTTAGGAAAAACAAGAATACATCCACTACCTTCCCAGCAACCATGTTGTAAGAATTGACTAATTGGGGCACTGCTTTGAAGTCGGAGTGTGTCATGGACCTACAGTCCATATGTATGAACGTATAACATAAGTGTAAGTATGTAGTGGTAAATGTAACTAGCTTAGCAACAGAGGTCACCCTCGAAATATATACCTGGTTTCCCCCTTCAGGTTGAAGTGAACAGACAGAGACGCAACGTGACAAAGAAAAAAGGTTAGAGTGTTTTGGGCTTTGGTAAAAGACTGATGGTTTTCTCAGACATCTCATTTCATATACTACATGGGTCTGTATATTAGCGTGAATTTTAGGGCTGTCTCCGCAAGTGAGGCATCGCTCTCAGTCGACAGCCGTTTTGACACACTTTTCATCCCATAACCTCCTGGCAGGTCTTATTAGCGATAGTGTAGGAGCTGCAGTTGCGCATTTATTGTGAGAATGGCTGCATAAGGCCAGGGTGCTGGTTTATGACTGTGGAGTCCAGGAAAAAGGGCAGTGACTGTAAAGGACCATGGGTGCGGTCGTGCTTGGGTCAAGAAGGCAGACCATTACTATATATGCCGTTACACTGAGTGTCCAATATTTCCAATAAAGATAACTTAAGAACTCAGCCAATTGTGAATATACTGTGCATGGATGTGTCTGTTTGTGTAAGGGATGCTCGAACGAACGAACGCACTTTATTTTCAAAGGGTCACAAACTGGGCATGCAGGCCCGTCTTACATTCAGTCCTTCCAAACACTCATCTTTTACACTGCAGCTGTATTTTATCAATAAGCATGTTATATTCATATTATAATTTGCATATTATGAATTTCAAAAAAAAAAAAAAAAAAAAAAAAAAAAAAAAAAAAAAAAAAAAAAAAAAAAAAAAAGCACAAAAGCATGGGTGGTAAAATGCATCTACACACACACACACCCACCCCCCACTCACCTTAACACACCCACATACCTTCACACACACACAAACACACACCATTCACCCACATACATACCTACATACCCACACAGACACGCACATTCCGCACACATACAAACATACAGATATACACAGACAGACACACCCATAGAAACAAATGCAGAACCACACACACAAACAGACATATGCACACATACCCAATCACACACACACAGATACACACACACACAAACTGGCATACACACACATGCAGACACACACAGACATATATGCACAAACACACACAGATACACTCGGAGACACACAAAGACACACACAATCGCAGACACACACACGCGCTGATGCTCACGCAGACACATACACACAACCACAAACACACACGCAGAAGCAAACACAGGCATTCATACACACAGGCACACTTACAGATACATGCAGACACACACCCACAGCCACACAAATGCAAACACATACGCAGACATACCTATACACAGGCACATACGCAGACATGTAGACACATCCAGAGACACTACACACAGACATATACACACAGAGACATACACAGATATATACAGAGACGCACATATACACAGGCATTCACACAGACACACACAGGCACATACAAAGACACACACACAAACACAACAAAGACACACACATACAAACACACACGCAGGCAAACACACAGCTCTCAGTAACAAGCCATATGATTATATGTATTCACCTGTTTGATGTAGAGTGATAGAAAAGTCTTTGACTGAGTGCATCAGTCTGAGAGACAAATAACCAACAATCTGCACACACATAAGTCAGATCTATAAATGCAGCTCACAGATTCTGGAAGACTAAGTCTAGAGTTTGACAAACAAACAGAACTTTTCACTAGAGTTTCCAGCCAGTGTACGTGAAGAAGAAGATGAAAATAACTGTCATAACAAACAAATGAGAAATAATCCTAACAAATAAATGAATCAGTCAAGAAGTGACATGACTGAACTTGAGACATTCACATACATGATCTTTCACTTTCCTCAGTAGACAATGAAGAGTTCCCATACTGATGATGTCAGATGCAACCTGATTAAAAAGTCTGCATGTCTTTTGTCCTCCTCTGCTCAATCCCTGCTGAATCAGCCTCTCCAAGTCTGGATACTCTGTTGCACTTGATGCCAAACAGCTTTCACTACATCTGCTCTATCATACATTAGCTACAGCAGCAGCAACAGACAAAAACTATAAGCCTGCTCATTACTCTGCACATCTGAGTGTCCCAGGTAAAAATGTATATGTTTCTGGTATGAGTCTCATCAAGCAATGCAAGCCACTCTTCTTCTTATTCTTCAGCACTCTTCAGCATTCAGAGTTCATTGCTTGAGGTTCATTGCTTGGCAGATATCACTGCTGCAAATGCCTCCACTCATCTCTCTGGTTGGCTTTCTTTAGCATTTGGAGCCTTTGAGGTTCATTGCTGCAGATATCATCTGCCTCCACTCATCTCTCTGGTTGGCTTTCTTTAGCATTTGGAGCCCTTGAGATTCAGGTTGCATCTGCTGCTCTATGGTTGGCTTTCTTTAGCATTTGGAGCCCTTGAGATTCATTGCTGCAAATATCATCTGCCTCCACTCATCTCTCTGGTTGGCTTTCTTTAGCATTTGGAGCCCTTGAGATTCACTGCTGCAAATATCATCTGCCTCCACTCATCTCTCTGGTTGGCTTTCTTTAGCATTTGGAGCCTTTGAGGTTCATTGCTGCAGATATCATCTGCCTCCACTCATCTCTTTGGTTGGCTTTCTTTAGCATTTGGAGCCTTTGAGATTCATTGCTGCAGATATCATCCGCCTCCACTCATCTCTCTGGTTGGCCTTCTCTTTCCAGATGGTGACACCAAGCCACTCTGCACATACGAAACCAGTTCCTGTTTTCCAAAGCAAGTAATCCCTCATCAACTTTTCATCCCTGAAATAATTCATGCTGTTTAATGAGGCAGGCCAAGACCTCACCCCAAATGGCCAAAATGAAATCTATCTTGTCACTGCTGAGGACCGAACCTCGGATTTCCATGCACTAACTACTAAGCAATCATGGCTTTATCAGCATAGTGGCAATGAGCTGAAAGAAGGTTCTGAATTTTTAGTAGACTAAACACAAAGGAATATCTGTATTTATATGTGGAGACACCAGGGATATGGCATAGCAGACAAAAAGGTAGAGCCAAAATATATGAGAATCACTGGACTAGTCCATTCAACAACAGATAGCTACAAATGTCATAGACAAAAGATCAAATGTGTCAAGACTAACACCAGACAGTGCTGTCACTTAGACATAATGGAAGCTAGAAAATGAGACTGCCCACGCAAGAATGGATAGATGGAATATCCGAGGTTGTAAATACCACCACAAACCAGGTCTTGCCCCCACTGCCTATTCATAATCTGACTCTAAAAGACAGAACAGGACTAGAGAAGAAGAAGAAAAAGAAGTATTAGACCTTTAAATACACTAGATCATAACCTAATGATGATGTGACCAGTTCCATGTCTTGTTACTTTTACTTCAATGATAAATTCTAACAATGATTCTGTAAGCATATTATAAGACTGGGTCGATCTCAGAGCTGTCATTGCGGGGGAAAAAGTATTCTGTCATTAGCTGGGACTGAAACTAGACCACTGTCTTTGAAAGAGTAAAGAATCTTCTTTCTTCTTTCGTTCGCCTGAAATAAGTTGTCTATATCAGCAGTTTTGTCTCTTGTATAAATTTCACTGTCGTTGTTAGTTCATTCAGTGATCCATAGAGTTTACGTTCCACTGATGATCTTTCTGGCCAAAAGGTTTGCCCTAATGTGTCAAATTCGGTGCAGTCCTGGAGTACATGCTCTGCTGTCTGGGGCACCAATCCACAGGTGCACATGGCTGATACACCTATCTTGAATTTTGTGTACATGTGGTTACGTAATCGGTTGTGCCCTGTTCTGAGGCGGAGGATAATGACTTGTTCTGGTCAGTAAAGAATCAACATCATAGGACTCTGGAGATTCCTATAAGCACTCAGTCCTCATCTTCAGCAGCCAGTGAAGAGTTCCAGGTCTGATGGTACCAGCAGCAGTATGGCTGTTTGTCTATCTTGTCTTTCCTCTGAGTGTCAGCCAGAACTGGTCATGCCCAACACCATCCTCTTCAGACCCTGATGATCAATTTACCATCAAGTGGTACAGAATCAGCCAATTTGTCTGCTTGTTCACTTCTCAACATACCTGCATACCTAAAAAAACATATCCAAAAAACTCTATCTCCAAACTCTAGAGTGATGCTGGCCACTTTACACAGAGCGTACATGTCTCCACCTTTCTCAGCATGGTTTGGGAGTCAGTTACAATCACAACATGTGTGCGCAACTGTTTCTCGAGCCAGAGGAAAGCTGTTTTGACTGCCTCCACCTTCATTCTTAAACACGATACTCTGGTATGATTTGCCACCCACTGTTGCACTAAGGGCCATCCATTTGCTGTAGCCCTGAACCCCCATAAACTTTTTTCTGACTTTGAAATCAAGTATACTAAAAATCATGCTACCATAAAACTTCAACATCAATACTGCAACAACAAAATTACCTGCTAGAACATAAACTATTAATGATATGACCTTTGAGCTCTGACCCTTTGATGTCACCTTCATCTTTAGGAATTTTCTCTTGGACGTTAATTAGTGACAGAATTTTAGGCAGTAACTCAGAAGCTCTGTGGAAATAAAAGCAAATCATCAAAATTAGGCCCAGGAAAGAAAATTTTTTGTAAATATAAATAATATAATACAGGGGTTCTAAAGAAGATAGGAATGAAGAAACTTAAATAAACAAAAGTAATTGAAGATAAACAATAGGAGTAATACTAATAATGATAATTGTCTCTTTGAACAAAGAATTAACAAACAACAGACCACACAATTTATTGCTTGGTTAATTTCGCTTATCTCAGGTGCATGCAAAAATACCAATTAAATAAAATGAAGCAACACACATTAATCCTTAAGAACACATTCAAAGGCAACTGCCTATTTTTCAAGGTCACCCTCAGATTCACTAACATGTCTTTTTGTCTGCACAAATCTGGATTGAAGTGATTTATTGTGGCTGCTTAATGAAATTTAAAGTTTGCAACTGGTAAATATATAGTTGTGTGGTTAACTTTGTATTTTATTTAAGAGGAATCATTTATTCGCTTTTGTCAGTCACCTTTTATAGGTGTGACACAGGTACCGTTGTTATTTGTGCCAGTGTACCCACACTTTCATGAACATGTAAACGCTGATGACCTTGTTCCAGTTTTCAAAGAATGTTTATTTAAGTACTTATGATAATTGCAAAGTTAGTATGGCTTCCACACAACGTTATCGACTACTGAGTAGCCACCCATTAATACTTATGGCTCACAAGCATACTAATCCCAGGTAGTCACTGGCTAAATACATCAACAGTACGCTGGTATAGCTGATCACAAATCATCCTAGCAATATGAACAAAGTCATGAGAGGCTAGCGGATGCCTTTATAGCAGTAATTACGTATCATCATGGCTACCACACTTAACTTTATAATCCGGCTACACAACAGAAACATTTGTCACAAGTACAAATAACCACTACTGTCCTCTCTACAGTTTTAAATCCAATCCATCCAAAGCAAAAAACAATTCCCCCATTTTAAAGGGCACCAAACAAACACATCCGTTCACTGGACTGTCAAACTACTAACTGCCGTGTGTCACTCTACCTGTTTGTCCAGTCCCCTTGTAACTTCCCCACTCAGTTACCCGTATCGCCCTGCGGGTCTACACACAACCCGTCTGACCAGTAATTGACCTCTCTGCTGCTATGAGTCAGTCTAGTCGTCGTTTATCTTTCTCTCACAGTGTGTGGTAAAGTTGACTCATGACAGCTTTATTTTCTATCACTGAGACTTACAGGAAAATAAACTTGTTTTTTTTTAAAGCTACTGCTATACCAACCTCCCCCTGATACTGTTAGTTACTTTATTCATATCCTGGCATATTAAACACTGTGCACAGAATATATCTACACCTTTCGAGAACAAGTCACTGCGGAAGTGACTAGATTAAGTCTTATCAGGACAGTTAAAAGACCAAAAATATGGCAAATTACAAGTATCACACTTACTTTCCTCCAGAGAAAGTTCCAGATTTCACAGAATCAACATAAAACTGAGCCAGCTTTGCCAAACAGGAAGGTTGCACTGCATCAATCTAAAGAAATAATTATGAAAGCTTTAAATTATGTAGACAGAAACAAAACACTGCACAATTGATTGTGCCATTCCCACAATGGGGCCCGGCAACACACACAAAGACTTTACCTAATTCTATTTTAAGTAGTTGTTACTTTAAGTAATCCGTGTTTAAGTCCCAGCAGTTAAAATAACAGCCCTCTCCATGTGGGTTCTGGGGGCCCATTTTGAGGTGAAAAAAGACCCACTGCACCCATAAGAAGCATCTCATAAGGGGTGACTAATTAAGGTTTTGCTGAAACCGGGTGTGGTGGACCAAAAGTCATATATATCACAGCCTAGCTGTAAACCACAAAGCAATGTGTCAATCCCCCTTTTAAGGGTGAACGGAGAAGAATAACAAGAAAAATCATTATAGGACTCGAGGAGTTGAAGGAAAAATTGAGGGTCAAGTGGGTGTAATAAATGACAAGTCACAAGGAGACAAAAGAGTATATCATTTAACTTAAACCAACAAATACAAGGTGGGGTTGCTTGGTAGTGAATGAGTTAATATTATCATCATGTAGCAGGTCCTTTGCAGAATGTTGCTCTAGTCACGGTCAACATGAAAGAAACTTGGTCTCTCGCCAGCTCTCCTGCCAAATACACTTTCATACCCAAGAAGTCACTCATATTCTGTGCCCACCTTCATGCTGGTCAGCCCCTGCTCCTTCCTGAAACCATGTCTTCTACTATTATTTTTTTCAATATGACATAGCGCTTGATATGGCTAAAATATTTCAAGTTAATATTCTAAACTAAAATAAACAAAAGCTGCCGGCGTGATGTTGACCAAATCATATACCAAGAGCCAGTTAGTCTGAAAAATATAGGTCCAGTACTATATACACAAGGTGCCCAAAGTTGTGGGAAAGGATCCTTTACTTTTTACTTGAAAAAAAATAATTTTGAGAGCCTAGGTAGCATAGTGGATAGTATGCTTGCCTGTGGTAAACCGATTCAAAACTTGAATTCTTTTGTGTCCATAGTTCTGAGAAATAAAAGTTATCTGGCATGACACTGACCACATCACCCAATGAATGCTGATCATCATCTAGCAGGTCCTTTAGAGAACATCGCTCCTATCACGGTCTGCCTGAAAGAAACTCAGTCTATCGCCAGCCTCTCTCCCTTCTGCCACTTAAATACCCAAGGTGTCACTTATATCCTGTGCCCATCTTCGTGCTGGTTGGCTCTTTTCTGGTACCAAACCTTCTGCTATTATTTGTTTCCAATCCGCTGTGGCGCTTGATATGCCCAAAATATTAGTTTCCGTGAGAGGATTCTGTTTACTAGCCAACTGATATGCCCAAAATATTCCAGTTTCCGTGAGAGGATTCTGTTTACTAGCCAACTGATATGCCCAAAATATTCCAGTTTCTGGGAGAGGATGCTGTTTACTAGCCAACTGATATGCCCAAAATATTAGTTTCCGTGAGAGGATTCTGTTTACTAGCCAATCTTCTCTGATGTTTAGAACTTTTAGGATTTCAGCATTTCTTTTCTTTTTTGTCCATGGTATATTCTGAGAATCTTTCTGTAGCATATCATCTCAAAAGACTATATTTTCTTCTTTAAATTAATGACTGGGTAACATACGACTCAAATCTAAATGCCGCTAAAGGGAATATGCATGCTTTCAAAATTTTGCTCTGATGTCCTTGCTAGTGTTTAATCTTTGCAGTGCTATGGCCATCCTTATTTTGACTTCTGTAGAACAGTCCCTGTTGTTGTTCATAATAGAGCCTAGATATCTTAAGTTTGTGACATTTCAATTTTGTATTATTTATTGTGGGTTTTTTTGGGAGGGGGGGGGGAAATGTTGATCAGTGTATTTAAAATATGGGGCTAGTACCATTTGCCTTTATGTATACAAATTTACATTAACAAAGAAAAGAAGTCTTGTAAATTCTGCACAATCTGAATTTTGTAAAAGCAAAATAAGCCATTCACATGTTAATTAATAAGTATGTTCTAAATCTGGTGCTAGACTCATTGTCCAAAATGAAGGCCATAAAAAGAGGCTCCAATTGTAGAACAGGATAACTTGAAATCAAGGCATTTTGATTAGATTCTAGACAAGGTGATCAGACAAAATCACAGCGCATACAACTACAGGTCTACAGTGACTTCAATTATGACAACACAACATAACAAAACACAGACTGTCAAAGGGGATTTTCAATGGAAAATGTTTGGCAAACTGTTTAAACAGAAAACAATAACATAGATGTGAAGGAACAGCAACCGAATTGTGCAAGGAATTAATATTTTTATATCAAAATCTTTTTGTCATGAAATAAACCACACATACTACATTTGAAAGGGGTGGGGTGGGGGGGCATATAAGAAAGACAAAGACAGACAACTGTATATAAAGATCCCTTTTCCCATTTTTAGGCGCATCGAGCATATGAGAAAAACACCAATATTTTAACAGACCAATCGCCACTAGGTGGGTAATGTGGTCAGCATTATGTCAGCCGTCTTTACTTCCCCAGGACATACATCCTGGTACCCATTTTAGACCGGGTTGACCTGCAACGCCTCATACCATGATAAAAATCCACGCAGCCAGCAGTGGGTTTCGATCACGATACGTTGGAATTACGAGTCAGACTCACAACGCCTAAGCCACGGACGCTGCATATAACTGTAAATAAAGAAAAAACATAAATAAATACCTCAGTAAGAAGCAAACTGACAATATCGAAGGCAGACTTGGAGTTAATCTCATTCTTCTGCAACAGTTTGATAATTCCAGTGATGACACCATAGCAGCGTTGAGTACTTGTTTCATTGTCTTGTAATGAAGCTGTAACAGAATTACCTTTAAAATCATGCCTACTTCTTCTTCTTTGTTCACCGGCTGTAAGCTCCGGCAGAAAGTCGTGGTTGTTTGTTCATTTGGGTTCTGGCTTTTTTTTGCCAGGGCCTGAGTTTTGTTGCATCTGCATCCATTTTACTGGCTTATCTGCCAGCTGCAGCTGGTTATTCCTTGCCATTAGGGCGGATGCACTTTGACTTTGAAGGAAGCTTCCAATTAGTCGGCTCCTACGACATGCTTGTTGGAGAGGTAGTGGGTCTGTTCTTGCTTTCCCCACAATGGTGCCTCTGAACCTACACAGGCAATTCCCAATGATACAGTACAAAACCAGGTCATGAGAATGTGTAATGCATTTGGTGGGAATTAACACCACATGAGATCAAATAAAGCATATCCAAAGAAAGAAGTATTCTCTCATTCAGACATTTCTAATTTATATTGCGGTAAAGCTGGAAAAAGAAAAAAAAATACATTGAAGAAAAAAATAAACCAGGTTTTAATAAAACTAGAAATGAAAAACAAAAAGTTTCTGAACAAAAAAAAAGGGACAAATTAAATATTTTGGCCATATTAGGACATAACACTCAGCATTCCGAGAGAGGATACATCCACGGTGAAAGATGGAGCACGATGGAGATCAACTGCAGCCAGTATTCATTGTGGAGACAGCGTTGACTGATTGATAACTGGAAGTACACTACCATTTTTTCTTATTTTATAAATATCCAGTCTACACCATGAGATAAATAGAATAACTGTAATTAATATACAAGTCGTTCCCTTGTAGGATGCAATTTGTTTTATTAATTTGAAGCCCCTCATGGGCTTTTGCCGGGTGCCCTTAATGTAGCCAGGCCATAAATATGGCCTTTCGGCTAAATGAGGTTTCCGGGACCTCTTCACGGGTGATCCTCATCTGTATGGTGGTACTTTGTGTCACCGAGTGTTTATTGCTTGTGTGATGTCCTGGTGGGGTACAACTTACATACATATACATACATGAGATGAATATGGTCTGCTTGAGCCAAAGACAAATGTCGAAATCTGATCGAATAAATCCCTATCAGCATCATGATTTGAAAGTAGAGCATGGTCTTAGCTCTGAACCACTGAATTCTTTTTAAATGTTCTTAGAACCTTAGAGTAATAATTAATGAAGCTACAATGACACCACTAATAATAATAAGAGAGAAAAATTAGAACTATACTGTCAGAAAATGACAAGCTGAATTTTATCAATTCCACTAAGCCCGTGTGGGTTCCGGGGCCCCATTGTGGGTAAGACAAGAATTGACCCACTGCCTGCCCAAAAGCATGTCGTAAAGAGTGGACTAATTGGGAGCTTCCTTCGAAGTCAGAGTACATCTGCCTGAGAGGTAAAGAATCAAAAAATCTGCATGGAAATGAGTCAGACCTGTAAAACGAATGTGCATGCAACACTCAGTTTCTGGAACAGAACTAGAGTCCAAAAGTGGACGAACAACCAGAACTTTCCAGCGGAGTTACAGCCGGTGAACGAGAAGAAGAAGAAGAAAGTCCACTGTTATTGCCCCAGGCCGTCCGTGCACATCTTTCTCTATCTTTCTTTGTCTCTCATGCTTAGTACTTCCCCACAAAAGAGCTACTCCCTTCTTACTCTTCTGCTGATATGCCCCCATACATTCTAAGGAAGATCCAGGCTAAAATGGGTACCAGGTAATGTCCTGGGAAATGAGGCTGGCATAACGATGACCACATCACTCATTAAATACACATTGTTCTTTAAAATATGAATCCAGAAGCATTATAAGCCTGATGCGTTGCTGACATAAAAAGGGTCCTTTGCTAACTTTACTTCTATTATTTACTGTCGAGGATTCTAATCCACAAAGAAGAACAGGCCACAAGAGGTAGTAAGAATGTACAGTAAGAAAGTTAACATATGCACATAGAATACGAACATATATAAATACTAACCAGCCAAAACTTCCTTGATCAGGGGTAAAGGATCATGTTTTCCTTTCATTATATAACCAGTAACACACTCAACAACCTAAACATGGAAAACAAAAGAGGAATTTTAGATTCGTCTTACATTTTAAAATACACTAATGAGTTGAACTGAGCCCAGTCAGGAACTAACATCACAGCACTCGTGTCATACCCATGCATGATCCGTCCCCATCTTCAGCAGCCAGCGCAGAGTTCCAATACTGATGGTACCGGTCACAATCTGGTTAAATAACTGTCTTGCCTTTTCTCTTGAGTGTAGTCAGCCGGCCAGACCCTCTGGTTACAGCTAGGTGCCTCATTCTCTCCAGGCCATAATAATCTTCTTTCTCTACTGATTCCGTTGCTTGTTGCCAAAGGGCCTTGACCACTTCTGCCTTGTCATGTATCAATTCACCACCCAGTGGTGCAGATCCAGCCAATCTGTTTGCCTGTTTAATACCCACCACACCCGCATGGCCTGGAGAAAATATCTAAAGTATGCTCACTACCCGTGATCTTTCCAGTGAAGCTTGCCACTCTGCTCGAAGCATTCCTGTCTTCATTTTTTTTCAGCATGCTTTCAGAGTGTTACAATTACTACATGTGTATGCATCTTGTTCTCTAGCCACCGGAGAGCTGCAGTTACCATCTCCACCTCCATTCTCATGCTAGATATTGTGGTGTCATATCCTAGGCTGTCTTGAACTAAAGATTTTCTACTGGCTTTCACTACGAACCCCCAGGCACGTCTCTTTCCTGTCAGCACCGAACCATTTGTATAGATAATCAGATCACCTGGGCGTGAATTGTCGTGAATCAACTGTTAGACTTAAACCTCTGTAGCACCCACTGGCCACTCTCTGCACACCCAGCCCAATGTGATCATAATCCTACAGGTCAGACTTTTTCTCTGGTACTCTGACCCACTCCTCTCCTTGCCCAATATTCTCCAGCATTCTCTTATTGTGTCTTCTGCTTGAGCCATCCACAATTTTTTCGACTCTGACCCTTGCCTGCAGCCAAAGCTTCATACGGAGGGTGTTCCCTGTCTGCAGCTACTCTGAAGTATGACTTAGCCTGCAGCACCTTTAGCCTATCTGCAATAGTGGGCAATGCAAGGAAGTATCGCATGCACACAATCAGGGTGTCTCTTGTACAACCCAGGATCAGCTGCAAAGCTTCATTCTGTATGCGCTCCAGTTTATCTAGCTGACTCTTCGAGACAGTGAGTAACCCTGATTAATACGCTTATATGCAGTATGATCAGGGCAGACATTCAAAAACCTAACAAATTAGAAATAAAATACTAAATATCAATATTTTTTTTTAAATATATAATTCATAACATACTATCAATGATGGCTGACTTCAACAATCATAAAAAAAAATGTTTTCTGTTTCTTATCCCATAGGATGATAATAGTAGATGTTCACCTTTTTTTTTTTTTTTTTTTGGGCAATCCCTGGATGTTAACCATCATGCAAAGTTTTGATTAAACCTACTGTGCATACCTAACAAACATGTTGTACAAAGTAGCTACATAATTAAGGGTTTCCTTCAAAGTCGGAGTGCATCTGCCTTAGATGCAAATCACCAAGAATCTGCACACAAATAAGCCAGATCTATAAAATGAATGAGCACACAAAACTTCTTTAATTTCTTTGTCTTACTGGCTGTAAATTCCAGTGGAAAGTTCTGTTTGTTTGTCCACCTCTGGACTTAAATCTTGCTCCAGAACCTGAATGTTGCTTGCACAGCTGTTTTACAGATCTGACCTATCTGTATGCAGATTGTTGGTTCCATGCCTTTCAGGCAGATGCACTCCAACTTTAAAGAATGCTACCATTGTAACAATTAGTTGACTCTTATGACATGCTTGTTGGGGAGGCAGTGGGTCTATTCTTGTTGTCCCCACAATGGGGTACCAGAACTTTTTTTCCCAAGATTTAAAAAAAAAAAGGTGCTGGCACTCACCATGAAGTAAAGCATTTAAACAAAAAAGTGCTGTTACTATTTTATTTCTTACTGTCTAAGTTATACTAAATTAAACAAGTCTGTTCACTCAAAGGCGCTAAAAATAATAATCCTTAAAAAGGTGCCGGTACTGCATACTAGGGCTGTACCGAATAGTGATTTTCACTATTCGGCCGAATACGAATAGTGGGGCCAACTATTCAGCTGAATACGAATAGTGTATCATCATCATCAGGTGCCTTGCCGACTGGCGTGGGCGATCATGCCTCTCCACAATCTGCGATCTCCTGCAGCATATATCCGTTCGTGTGCTGTCACACCTCCATGCCATGCAACAAGACTGTCAAGAATCTTCTATCGTTGTCTTTCTCTATCCCTTCTTCCACAGATCTTTCTAGTGGTCACCACATGTTTCATTTTCCCTCTTATCATAACATGGCCGAAAAATGACTGTCTCCTTCTGATGTTTAGTTGTCTTCGGGCTCCGGCCTCTTTCAAAACCATCGTTCGCTCGGCCGTTCGTTCGATGTAATTTAAAAGCACCTCATGTTCTTGTTAGCAATATCTTCAAATTTGATTTGGGCGAAGACACCCTGAAAGAACGAAAAATGCAAGATCTCTCTATCTCTCTCTCACACACACACACAGACACACACTCACACACATACACACTGCGGTTGGCATTTTATGCAGTTTGTACCACGCAATCAGGTCGTAGTTCCCCCCGCTACGACAGACTTAGGCAACAGCAACGATTGTGTTAATGTGAGTTATTTCAGTCCATCGCAGTGTATGCAGAAACGGCCAAGGTAACCACTATTCGTATTCGGCCCAACCGCAACTATTTGGCCGAATACCGAATAATAGTTATTAGGTCCACTATTCGGCCCCGAAGCGAATATCCGGTACAGCACTACTGCATACCGCCATTTAAAAAATTCATGACTATGAGTAAACTTAAACTCAAACTGGAAAGACAACGTCTCACAAAGTTACACTACAAAAAAAAATTTTGACAAACATAAATTTAAAATTACAAGTGACAATAAAAGTAAAGTTTAAAAGCTAAAACTGAAAGAAATGAGACCAAACCATATGAATGATATGGCATATCATAACATCATAACAAATAAGAAACAGAAACCTTTCTTTCGTCTTGTTGATCCAGTAGGTCTATGATTTCTTTAACTTTCCCCTGCTTGGAAAGTTGCAGAATTACTCCCTCCATCGTTTCAAGAAAACCAAATCGAAAAGCTTTTATAATTATACCAAATTATTCACAATTGAGCTCGTAAACTTCGATCGACGTCTGCAGTCTGCTGTGCTGACAGGTTTTTCTCAAAATATAGCGGGAGACGGCTAGAATGTAAACTTACATGCAGAAGAGCTAGCCAGAGCAACTCGTTCCTACTTGTTGTGGTATCCTATTAATAAACAGAGGGGGACATTTGAGGTCGATAAATATTATGAATTAATCAAGTAACAGAAAGTGTATTGATCGGCACTCATAGAAAGAAGTAGAAAGATAGAAGAAAACATTAGACAACATAAAAATCGAATGCTATAGTTACCGTGCCGGAAATTGAATCAGTCACCCCCAGACGGCGTCTGCGCCTCGCCATGGATACAAGTGCACTAAGAACATGGTCAACTAGGCACACCCTGCACTGACTGTGGTAGAGGGAAGCTGAATTAGTTGAGTACTGAGCTAAGAACAGACATCACAGCACTCAGAATATTCCCATAAGTGCGCCGTCTTCATTTTCGGCAGTCAGCGAAGCATTCCAATTCCGATGGTGCTGGTAGCAGTCTATTTGTATGTCCGCCTTGATTTTTCTAGAGTGTCAAGTGTCGACCAGATTCGCTGGTCACACCTAGCTCTATCATGCTCTCCAGACTAGAATTAATCTAATCGTGCCCCTGCATTGTTTACTTGCTCCCAAACACTAGTTCAGCAGTAGCAATTTTCACAAAAATAACACGTTAAACCCCTAAGATTATAAATGGGATATAAGGTGATTATGGAGTTCTCATAGTATTTATGGGGTTTATGTGTGTGTTGTATGCGTTTACAGGTTATGTGTGTACGTGTGTGTGTGTGTGTGTATGTATATATATATATATATATATATATATATATATATATATATATATATATATATATATATATATATAATCGTGTAGTTACGTTTTTAATTTATGTAATTCGTTTTTTCTTCTAATAATAATAATAATGCTTTGTTTAGACTATTTTGGGTTCTTATAAAAAATTGCATTATGAATCTTTCTTATCAAAGTATTTGATTTGGTTAGTTGAATAGGTCTGTTCAACGTGCTCAAGAAGGTTTGGTGTCCACCTACTCTACTGAGCATTATTGAGTCGTTCCACACAGGTATGAAAGGTACAATCAACTTAGAGGGTTTAACATCGGAGAGGTTTGTAATTAACAGTGGGGTAAAAGAGGTTTGGATACCACAGTAAATTTTAAAAAAAATACTATCGCAGAAACAAGACATTAACTCCAAGATAGATACAGCAACAATAATAATGAGCAGATTAAGTTAACTAAAAAGAATTTGAAATGCAAACGAAAACTCTTGTCTATCAAGTTGTGTG